TACGATTCGCTGGTTTACATTTTCGTGTAAGTATTTTCGGTGTTGCGATGACAGAAAACCACCGCAAGGATTGAATCATTAATGAGGACGAATATGAAAGCGTACGGTAGGAAATGAATTATGTTCGCTATTTAGGTCTAACCGGTATTAAATGACTTGCTTTCGGGCGCGTTTAGCTGCGCATGTGAAACCGTCGAGACGATATTGAATCCAAGGCCCACCCAAAACGTTGCGACGACCGTGAATATAAAGACGTGATCCACCACCGACGTGGACGTTATAAATAAATAAGCATATTGATTGAGTGGATTATAATGGTTTCTCATTTGGTCGCTGGGGTCGTTTTGTCGCTTCTTTCAGTGTCATCGTGGTAATCTAAACTATTATAGAAACCAATAAAATATATACGCGTATTGAATATAATTAAGGCATTTTATGTCAGTATTAAACTAAGTATCCACTGATTAAAAGCGTGATAATATCTTAATAGTATTTTTTTTATGTAAAACATAAAAGAAGTAACGCTGTCACACATGTGCGTGCCGTGGTGCGTTTGCATGTCGCGCGTTAATTACGATTCGTTTGTGTTAATTATTCCCGTGCGTAGCGCCCGCGTCAAGCATTAGGCCGGCTTAGAAGTGCCGACAAACCGTAATATGTAGTTCCAGTTACGCATTAGTTGCGCGTTTAAATTTAAATCAACATTTACGAACGCCCGACTATATGAAGCGGGTGGCTCAAACCAACAAGCAAACGATTAACACTCCACTTGCATGCATACCACACAATGACACGCAAAATGACCAGCAATTATAATGTTTGTAATTGATTGTTAAAACAAATAAGTACAAAATTAGTACTTCTTGCAAATTTTATTTGATTTTGCAGTGTTTCGATCAAACAAATCTATTAACAGGATAAAACGTAGTGTCCTCGAGAAAGGTTACGTGATGGTGTAACCGATCGAAGAGCAATGCACACAACATTGCATTGCATCTGAAAATAGAATTCGTGCATCGCATCGAGCGAAAGCGCTAAATTATTCAAAATCTACCGGAGATGATTTAATTTTAGCCCGCTGGGTACCTCCGGAAAATATAAAGGTCACTAGGTGAGCTTGAAATTATTTATTATTTTTGCAAAATGTATATTTTTATTTTTAGACATTTTTGGCGTCAAAATTGCTTTGAAAAAAATGATAAATTCAAATTGACTTGGGTTGGTTTTGCTTTGATGAGTTGCAAACATGTGACACATTGTTCGCCACCACGTATGTTGTTCTATTGTTGTTCACAATGCGTCCGCGATCATAAATCACAATAATTCCTTTGTTAGTTCATCACGTGTGGAGGCGCCGGGCGACATTCAAATTCCGCTGAATTCACGCCGAATCAAACCAAACTCGCCGACATGATTCGTATGATAAACCCTTCGCCTCGGATCGCATATCAAAACGTTAAAAATCCAATTTTTTACTTCATCACAAGCGCGATATTTTCAGCGAGATGTGTTATATAACTCATAAGATTTGCAAACTGTCATGAATTGTGAAACGTTCGTGTGCGCGAGTTGAATCACTCTTCATGCATAAGAATGTAAAAAAGAGAAAAGCAAAAGCTCTCAAAAGGAAACGTTAAAGCGCAGGAAGCGCCAAAAAGAGTCAAAGCTATCATCCTCGCTTAGCTTCCTTTTAAAAACCGTCTTATGGTAGCGTACGCGGTGTACCCACATCGTGGTAGGGTTCTGCCGACTCTCACAACCAGTGTATACGAGCTTCGAGGTCGAACTGAGGGGCTTAGAGTTTCTTCATCTCGGCGCGTGCGATTTTCGGGCTTTCGTTGGTTTTTCCTTCGTTTCTGCGCCGCGTTGCTCGCGTTAAGTAAGCTGGTATTGCTCGCCAGCGCCGCGTTGAATAATGCAAGCAGGCCGACTGCTTTCTGGGCTGCTTTAAGGCGGCGTTATCTCTTTAACTCGAGCACTATATTAACCTTTACTCGGCGCCCGGGTCTATTACTCTTTCGCTTCGCCGCGCGTAAACACACATGCACTAGTTTGCCATACGGAAAAGTTTCGGTAATGAGTGGTAATGACACTTTGACAACATCAATTAACATGATTGCAAAGTTTACTATGAAATATTAGACTTCTACCCTCAAAATAAATAATAATTTGGCGCAAAAGGAAGGTAAATACACAATGTTCGATATTTTTTTCTTTTTAACAATTTTAAATAAAAGCAAAATGACCGGCTGTCAATTAGTGTCACGTCGCGTCATTCCACACCAGCAAACTTTTCCATCGCATTATTCACTAATTAGCGAATATTGATTGCGTTCGTATTGATAGCGACGTATCAATCATTCCATTAATATCTCTTGTAGATTTTTCTGCTTGCCAAAACCGAAGTTAATCCAGCGTCGATTGGGAATATTTGCGATATACCAAAATATTCATTATGCAAATCAATGCGGCCGATTCAAATGACGCAAACCGTACTGTAACTGGTTTATGATGAGTCCGAAGTCCGAAGTTTTCAGGCAATTTTTGTTTGTTTGACGAGAGCTTCACTCGCAAACAGTCGAATGCTGGACGGATGGAAAGCTCCAGGCAATGATTCGATTTTTACATCACACGTCAACGTCGCTTTGATGTGATGGTTTTGATGTTGAATATCTGATTACAATTTTCAAATCACAAAATTTTGATTAAAAAAGTTTTGAATGCAAAGCCAAACAAAATTAAATAATAATTTGGGCTTTTATCTATTAGAAATGTTATTGCAAATTGATGTATGTATTATTATTCATGTTTTACTACTATTATGATAACAAATGTTAAAGGTTCTTATGCTATAATTAAAATAACTCATATGTCATTGAATACAGCGTTTAAATTGTTTTGCTGAAAAGTACTTAAACTAATTAAAGCCAAACATAAACAAGCAAACTTCTTTTGCAGGTACATTCACAAAATTTAAGCTCATTATAAAATATTTAAGTAAATATTATATTCCTTCATTAACTATCTACAATTTCCAAAACAAATAATTATTAAAATGCGCTGAAACATTTTATTTTAGTATTTTATCTATTCTTTAACATTCAAAATTTTTTTGCAATTATTTTTTATTTTTGCCTTTTAATAAATTACTGTTTTGTGTGAGTTTTAATATGTTTTGCCTCAAGGGCATCATCAGCATAACATAAATAATATAATAACAGAAATAATATTTTTGTTATGTTATTGGAGCTATTGTAATTGAAGCGCTTTGATTTATTAATTCGTAATTAATGGTGTTGGTGAAACGCGAGAAAGTGCAGCACGTGCATGCACATCCTGCTCTATTCATTGTCAAACAATGGCGCACATTGCCAACAAAGTAATCGATGATGTCGGTAGGCAATTACCAAACGCTACTCGTGGACGAACTTGAGGATAAAGCGCGTCGTTGGAGACTGCTGAAAAAACATCCGCGAACCCCTCAATTACGCCAGATGGCATTCTCAAGGCCTATCGCATAAATTTTCCCGCCCGACCCAGACGGAGCAATCGATCGATTGATTTTTCTTCGAACATACATATCTAACTTTTGACATTTTCACATTTTCACAACGTGCTCAATCTCAAAGTTTAGGTGCATTAAGTTTGAATGCTATTCCAGTTATTGCACGGGTCGCTTTCAAAAGAAGAATAGGATTGCTTACAATAAGCACACCGCATACGAAATGGTCCTTTTAGTTTTCCATTTAATAATTAATGGATTGCTGCGGCGGCGGCTTGAACGGTCCGAGCCGGAAAATACATCCGGAGAATTGTTTCGTCCCGCTGCACTGCCACAACCAACGCGTTTGCGTCGACGTCTTGTTTTATCTACATCTACAAACCGAAAGTTTTCCGACGAGTGCAGCACTGGTGGAAAAAGCCGAACGGGGAGACAGATGTTTATTGAATGGGGATTTTGAAGGAAATGAAATGATATTTTATTCATTCGTTGGAAGGAAGTTCTTAACTTGGACTTACTCGAAAATGTCAAGACAAACGGAACTAGTACCAGCCGATTGTTGGAATAAAAGCAACCGCAAAAGCAAACAAGCTAAAATCAGTATTTCTTCAAATTTTAAAATGTCACATTTTAAGAATTTTTCCTCGTTTGTTTAAATTTTCTGATTAAAATTCTTGGTTATGATATTTCGTGTAATTTTTTGTATTGATGAAGTTGGAAACTCGTTAATATCGTCCACATTTCAAGCGGAGTGTGTTTACTCACCTCGCCGGTACGTTAATGGCAGTAATGCGCATTATTACTCGACCGGCACGAAGTAACGCGCACCGTAACGGCCGTTTCAGTTTCGCCCGTAATGCATAAATCAAGATTTGGCGCCGGCTCGCCCGTGCATGTACATTATCAGTTGTTAGCGACGCTAGTTATTCCCGCAAAAGTCAGCCTCAATTATCCGCGAGCGAGCGGCTAATGCAACTAATGTTCAGCAACGTGACTAAAACAATGCCTTCGAAAACCAATAATTATTACTACGTGGAATATGAACAAATTGTTAATGCATAAATGTTTGTTTAGCCTAATACATGAAAATGTGTATGTCACTATATGCTGAGTGTGAACGAAAATGTTCTTCGGGTTCAATTGCGATCTAATTCATCATGTGTCCAACTTGTTACAACTATTACAGTGCGCATCGGATGACGTCACTAATTGACACAAAGAGGCATTGCCGGCCGGCGCGCGGGTCACTCGCCGGTCGCCGTGGTGGCGGAGAGGGCGGCGGGAACGAGGCACAGGTGGCCGCTGACCGTTTCTCGCTTCCCGCGCCGCACCTCCCGGCTAGATTCACTCCGCTGCGCGCTGGACCAATTGCCCAATTGTTCTCCCTGCCAGTGACAGCTTGTTACTAAATTCATAGCAAATGCATTGCGGTATCCAATTGCGATACATAAAATTTCAATTTCGATGAAAATGCATAAAAGTTAATTATTTTTCATACCTTCATCCTGATTAGATCCTAAAAGAATCTCCATATCTTCATAGTCTCCTTCTCTGAGCATATCCATAGGGTGTTTAGGCATGAACACTCCATCGATTGTTGGTGTCGATGGGAAACCAAGTATCCCCGAGTATGAGTTCCACTGTTGGAGGGAAATAGTTTTTGCATCCACGGCCCTCATGCAATCCATCACCTCTTGGGGCCGTGTACTCAGCAAAGAGATATTGCACCCGCAATCTTGCACGAGAACCTCGCCAATCTGTTGCGCCCGCTCGCCGGACATATAACTCCACGGGACATTCATTGTCCCGGATTGCAGAATGCCCCGTTTGGCCAATCCCCTTGTTACTGGGCTAAGCAAGTGCAAACTTACTGAACCCCCACCGGCAGACTCTCCAAAAAGGGTAATCAAATCAGGATCACCTCCAAAGGCAGCCGCGTTTTCTTTGATCCAACGTATAGCCAAAGCTTGATCCCATAGGCCCATGTTACCAGGTGCTTCTTCACTACCATGCCCGAAATATTTATTTAAATACAGAAACCCGAATGATCCAACGCGGTATTGCATTGAAGCTACGATAACATCATTATTGGCAGCGACGATATCTGCATCGTAGATATCTAAAGTAGAAGTACCACTCATGTAACCTCCTCCATAGATCCAAACCAGAACAGGTACTTTCTTTCGTTCGTGAACGGGTTTATCCGGATGGTGCCGTATTCTAAGTCTTTGCGGTACCCAAATGTTCAAATACAAACAGTCCTCAGATATGTTAGTATTTGGGTTCCACATTTCTTCACCTTCAAATCCGGGGAAGTACTCATATCGCTCTTGGAAGCAAGAGTTGGGCAATTTTGTAGCGTCCAAGATCCCATGCCATGGATCAATTTTAACCGGTCTCCTAAAACGGAGTTGCTCGATGGGAGGTTTGGCAAATGGGATCCCAGTGAAAACATGCACCTCTCGACCCATCACTGTCTTCGAATATCCGCGAACCAAACCACTGGTTGTCTCCACCACCAATGGATCAAAGTGGAAGTCCTTGGGTGATGAACGCGTTGTGGTTTCATCACCCGGCCACGAGTATCCAGCCACAGCCGCGCTGCCGTACACCGCAAATAACACCACCAACAGCGTGAACAGCTCCATCATCCCGGGATGACGCGGAAGACTCGCCATCAGGGTATTAGCACGCACATCAAACACGAATTCGTATCACGAGCGAAAAAAATCACACGCGCGCAACTGTAAAACTGGGCGAACTCACGTGCTCGCCGGTGCACATCTACAGGATGTTGTCGGAATACTGACGGTTAAAGTAATTCGCGGATACGCGGCGGTTAACGAACGATCGAGAGCGTGCGGCGCGGACGAAGATACGAACGCGACGGACTGCGGCGGACTGTGCGATACGATCGCGGCGTGTGGCGGCAGGCGCGCTATCCTGGCGAAAGCCCGCGCAAGCTCCGCCAGTACGCAACCGACTCCTCGCTACCTCAAGTCGACAGTCGGTAACGCACTCGCAACCTACTAGCATCATCATCATAGCTGTCATCCACGCACAGCTTTCTTACTCTCTTCTTGGAACCACAATCACAGATATTATTTTGCGAAAGCCGCGACAATTAATCTTCGTAGTCGCTTAATTCAATTCCGAGCACGATGGAAGATACACGATAACGCCGAGTAATTGCGTAATTTGCCGGAGACAACTAGAGACAATTGAGACTTCCTGATCAACAGCAATCGAGTTCAGTCGCGGAGACTTCGCATCAAGTGATTTTCAAGTTGAGAGCCTCTCACAATAAAAACTATAGACATAGATTTTTACTATAAAATATATGATGACAAGTAGATGATGAAGTTTTATGTTTCATGTTCAACTAGTGGCAATCTGTTGGCGTGGTCAGATTAAAAAGTTAACACTTCCCACGGTCGCTTTTGCAGTCTGTGCCGACTCCCCGGCCGACGCTTTTATCGTTTTATTCGAAGACATGTACGCACGTATTTTATACGCCGAGCCAGATCCGCTCTGCTGACTCAAGCGGTGCGCGGCTGTCCGCCTCGAATGGCTTTAGGTGTTTCTGGCGCTTGTACGTCTCTTGTACGTGTGAGGTAATGGCGAACGCAACAAGACGGGAGGACAGCGGACCAACCCCTTCGTGGACGTGACCAAGCTGCTAAGCAAGGCATTATACTACCTTTTTTTTCTTTCTACTGAAGCTTGAGACTCGATCTCCGTGTCTGCGCTGCAAACCCAAGGTAATAACCATTACAAGGGAGTTTTTATATTTTTATTATTTTGGGTATTTTATGCTTTATTCAATACGCGCCCGGATCATGCACAATGCGACGCTGGAATTAAATTAAACTAATTTCAAACGCGGATAAAGGAAAAGGAAATGCTCCAGACTAACGAGCTAATAATATAACTTTATAACTGTTTTTTTTTTTTTCAGTGAAATAAATTTAAAACTTTGTCACCTTCGTTATCATAGCTAAGGTCAAGTTAAAGTCATACAGTATTTCAATTTTTAGCACTTGCACGATACTTACAGATTGTTTAAAATTTGACCCAATGATGCACAAATTGCTTCTGAGCGCTCCTCGTTGTGGGATCATGTGACCGAATCCCCGGATGAAAAATTCATGGCGAGTCCGCTTAGTTATTGAGTGTTATGAAGATTGGTTCGTCCGCATGCATATTTCAAGCGTCTGGAGGTCGCTGCAGAGGTGTCGTTAGCAACCCCAAGGTGTGCGTATAAGCGGATGGGTCTCCACCTTTGTCGTTCTGCTCCACTGTTCCTCGGTTCCAGTGTCTTCACTCGCTTCACACTATCGCACACTATCACCATCCCCCAAGTGCACATCCGCGAACATCCTGGCTGTTATTCTAGGTGCGTGTTCATCGCAATACGAATTGTCACCTTTAAACTCAAACAATCATCATTAAAACAAATATTATAAAATAAAAATGATATTTTAACGAAATTACATAAAGTTTAATCATTTTTAGTAATATTATCGTATTCAAATCAAATTTCTATTGGTATTTTTAAATATTCTGATGAATTTGTAAATTGTTCATGTGACAATACTAATCCTACTGGATACAGAAGGATCTGCTGGTTATTAACTCACAGGAACAGCATATCCTTGCATCTAGTGCTAGTCAACTAGGTGAGTTAATACGCGGACGTGCTGGTTGCGCTAGGGATTGCAGATGTGTGAGTGTCGCCGGTATTTGGCTATAACAAGTCCTGGGACCTCGGGACGCACATTGTAATCTAGAGTATCCTGGACTAATCATCGATTATACGAGTTGTAACACATCGCTCGCACGAGGACGAGCCCTCAAAGTTTCTTACCAAAATTTTTGGGCCCTCTCGAGACCTAGGTAATTTTATGCGTGCTTAAGAAATAAATTCGCCAACTTAAAATTGAAATGCGAAGTCGAGAAATTACTATTCTGTACGTGCGCCAAGTTTAAAAGTAGTAAAAACGTACCTACTAACTTTCAGTTACCTACAAAATAAGAAGCTACTAGTTGTAGCTGTAAATTTGATTATGTAGTAATATTTATACAGTGTGTTTTAATTTTTTTGTTGTTGTGAGGTTGGAATTTCTTTTCGCGTCCTTGAACAATTCGTTGTCGGTGTAGGACGTGGCGGCGGTGGCGGATTGTTTCCTGAGCTTAGGTAACGACGGAAGATCCTTAACTCGCAACTTCAATCAAACGTCGTCTTGGCGCGCGCGGCCGGCCGGCCGCTTTGTCTAACGCTTCCTGCCACTTTCGCGCATTATTTCACCTTTTATCCTTCGCGCGCGCACCGGTGGCGGCAGCGAGGCCGGCGTCTTCGCCCCGGCGCCGGGAAAATCAATATCCACACGCGGCGGCGGTGTAGCGGCGATGCGCTCTGCCTCCACCTGGCTGCGTCCGCTCGCTCGCTCCTCCACCTGTCGGTCGCCGCGCGCCATGATACCACCCTCCCCGCAGAACTTGTTACTTCTGCGTGCGCCTGAGCGACATCCATCTTTCTTACTTAGATCGCGCACGGAGGACACGTCGTCCTCGTTCCCGCACGAACGGACGGACACCTCTTTTTTTTTGTTCCAGCGGCGTCTTATTGTCGTTACGGGCGAAACCTAATTAAGCTCGTTTGTTCACCTTCCCGTGCGGTGGCGGAGATTTCGTTTTTAATTAAAAAAACGCAAGAAATCTTTTGTGGAATTGTAGCACATTATTGCATTTTTACTTATAAACATTTTAAAATATTAATTCTATGATATTGTAATACAAAGGATAAATCTCTGATGGTTGAAAAGATTTTTATCTGATTTTCAATAAGCTTTACACCTGGGAGCTTCGTTCTTGTCATTTTTTTTAAAGTCTCGAGACGATGAAAGATAAAGGATGAAGTACACTTACCCCAGGTACTAGAGCACCGCCTACAGTGCCGTGAGGTATGATAATATCAGCATCAGTATGCATAGCAATTCGTTTTTAACTTCTTAGAGAATTTTCGCCACGATTCAACCTTGAAATTTATATACTCATATGAAAATAAAATGAAATATTTTGTAATTATCACGAAAGCTTCTTAGAAACTTTTTGTAAGATTTTGCAACAGAATTGCGTAAGATGTATTGCAGCGCATGACGTTGTCAAGGTGTTCGTTGCACTCGACCGATTCTTTTCAAACAGAGAAATCTCCGACGAGCGAGTGGAATCGAGACAAAAGGACGAAACGACTGAAGTTAACAACACAATAAGCCGTTTCCGCTTTTTACATGCTTTCGTGCTTCTCGTGGAGGCCGCAATCCGCATCCAGGTTGAACGCGTGCGACGTCCATAGCTTCCTCAAATTCTGTGAGCCAGCCAGCTCGTGGTATACCTTTGCTGCTGTTTCAATTTGCATTATTAAAATTTCTCTCGCAGCGCTAGCAGCAGCGCTGAGATGCGAAGACAATGTAGAGCTTCTAGTCCTCGAAGTTACTTTTCGAGCTTTTGCCATTTCATTCTTTCAACGGCGTGCCTTCAACAACTCCCAAACCGTTTTTAGTTCTGAGATTTAGGCGTTGAGTTGAAATAATAACCATATGCCAACACTTTGCGCACAAAAGGTTAGTATGGGTCTGAACTGTGATAATAATAGTAATTGCAGGTGCATATTCAAGTATGAATAGTGATGGAAACGTACGCACTTTGAATTTTTTGTTATTAGCGATTTCTTGCACTCAGCTGGTAGATACGAGTACTCTGCGGCGGTTACAAAGTGGATCAATAACACCAATAACCGTGGCGCTAATCAAATTGATTGATTTTATAGACTTGCCTTTGTTAATGTCGTGCCGGCGACGCGTTTGCTTGGACGTTGCAATCAAAGCCAGAAAACTAAAGGTCAACGCGCTGCGCGCGCTCTTTTTCGATTAATTGGACGTGATTAATATTTTCTGCTCACTCCGATACATAGTCAGAGTCGGAACAGACTTATTTTTAACGCCGGTCGAAATTATTGATGCTCACATGAATAATAAAGCGCTGCAAAAACGGGCATAATGTTTAGAAGGCAATAAAAAGAGTGATATAACGCGAGGGGGTAGAGTTGGGTGGAAGTGAAGGGTTTCTAGTGAGAGGCGAGGCGACGAGAAGCGTCCTTGACCGGAAAAGTCCTGGTCGTAGTCGACGGCCGCCGGCCGCCGGCGATAGTCGCGACGCGAATAGGGTCAGCCGAGCCCACGATCTAATCATTTTCCTCTCGTTTATTATTATTATCATCGCGAAATCGTCGCCACGCTGCACTCTTCTATCATTTTATGCCAATTTCCTGTGCAGGCTTTTAAAGTCCGGACACGTGGATTTCAATTAGCTGCAATTTTCTTCTATTATAGGTTAAGAGATAAAAATAAATAGACTCAATTGTTAATTTTATTTCCCAACAATAAATTTTAAACCAGTGAATCAAGCAGAACATAAAATGAAAACGATAATTGCACTGTCTGTAAACATAAAAAAATCATAATTTTCATAAATATGATTAGTTTTGACTATAACTTGATTTGATTTAATGCTTACGCCGATAAAGTTCGCATAGCTGAGCTGCATTAGTCCGGCGACTGTGAGTTCCATCGGTTTTTGTGCACGCAAGATGATCATTACGAGTGCCCGACGAAAATCGTTGTCTTGGGAAGCCTCCCAGTTACAGTCGTAAGCCGATTCCGCAATCTGTCCACTCTACGCTCGTAAAATTTAAATTTCAACTGAAAAACCTTTTTGCTTTATTACCTGATATGTGAGTTCGCTCCCAACCGAACAATAAATAAAAAACTGAAAAACATGCGCGATCAAGTACGAGAGCATATGCTGCCATACATCCGGATCAGCTATCTGCAAACAAAACAAAATGTTACAGCACGAAAAAATAAACTAACTATATGGTATGGCAAGCAAGTGTGTTAAAATATTTGAAAAACAAAGAGACTTTTGTTTTTGACGCATATCACGCAGCTGTATACTTGCTCACTCAACATATTTCTCTATAAAATATTTTTTAATCTTACTAAAGCGACGCATGAAACGCACATCGCTGAAGCGCTCACAACAAATTGCATGAATACAATATGCGCGAAAATTGTCTCCAATGAATCACAAATTCTAAAATATCAAATGATATTATAATAATAAGTTATGATAATGAAAAAAAACTCACTCTATTAAATTTAAATGGTGTTTAATGCACTTGACCAACATTCTCATCTCAAAACTTGATCGTTGCTTGTCCACTAGATCCCCAAAATGTTTAATAACATTCCATTGTCTCATACGATGATGTTTTCCTATATTCTCAAGCACATTCTGTAAAATCTGAAACTGTGTGGCACAAATCATGACAATTGCGTTGAAAAAAGCATCAAAACCACTTAGTGTTGTAATGATAACTTGATTCATAAACCACTGCCAAATGTACATCATCTCGTACAATGGACTAACTCGAAAGTTGAAAGGATACCAAGAAGCTAGCGGTAGTTCAGAGAGGTTATGGACCAGTGGGAACATCATAAACTGAGCATTGGAAAAAAACGCCATGCAGAGGAACGCCACGCCCACGACAGTCACGTAATTGCTACGGAAACTTATTTCGCGTTGTAAACTTTGCTTTACCATATTTACCGGCCAGAAATCAAGCCATATTGACGTCAGAATACGGTTCAGTTCGGCGCGGTAGTGTATCATAGTTAATAATTTTGCAATGCACTAAAAAAACAAATTTAAGTTTTAAACTTTTTAAATTATGCTACAAATTTGTACTTCAAACGAAACTAAAACTGTTGTACATGCTGTCGTCATCTTTGTAATTTGAGCCAGATTTATTATAACGTAAGCAAAATGCGCCATTCCCATGGTAAAAACGCTTACAATTACTACCATCATTAACCAGTATTTTTTTGGATCCTCGTTATCAGGCCAAACGTTTAGCGATCGTAATACAAGTTTTGAAAAAACAATGCATCGTTTAGCAGCGTCTTGATTACAATGCACTTCAAACTCTGCAATTTATATTTAATTAAATTTTAGAAAATTAGTAATTAAATTAAAAATCTCAACCATTTGAGAGCTTTTGAAGCCCTTTGGGGCTTTTCAACGGCTGCATTGTAAACGCGTCGATGAAATTGCTAGTTTAAATAGCTATTTTGTTGGAAAACTAACAGAAATATTAAAGCGAACGTCGCTTTATATAAATTCGAAGGGTAGGAAAGTTTTTGGGTTGCATGTTAGCGTCGAGTGCAGACATCCAAAGTTTGCGTTTTTAATTTCTCACTCTTTGTCTTTGGTCGCAAAACCACCAATTCTGATTTTTCACAAACTCCTAACAAAGCTTTGTGGAATAATTACGGTAATCACAGTCTGAACAAACTTTGAAACTACGAATTGTAATTATCTGCAATCAGTGTATAAAGTAAATTGCATAAATTAATTACTAGATACGCAGGTAACTAGAATTCAATATGAAGAAAACCTAATGATTCCGGTAAGTTTATTATTAATCAAAGTGTTGAAGCAATTTGCAATAATTAGTTTTGGACTTATCGATAGTCCAGCGTAGGAACGTTTCTTCGTGCGGGGTCGCAATTGCCGGCAATAATAACAACAATAGTAATGATAATAAATGTTTGCGTTATTGTAGATTGAAGGCGAATCGATAAACACAAAACGCGTGCGAGGCTCACGCGAGTGAAACTTAATGCATACGGCAGGATTGTATCGGGATGGCCGGATGGTTGGATGGGATTGGTAATATTGGGTGGTGGGCGCCTGCCGCCCGTCGTTAGCAACCATTGCGAAAAGGTTTATATCGCTAGCGAATCGGGTCATAGGTTCATCTATCGACCGTGTCGTTTCAAAACGGGCAGAATACCTATACTGAATGTATTGCAAATTAAATTGTGATTTAAAACAATACTTAAATTTAATTAACATGCCAAACATAGATTTACAATAAAATAAAATTGTTGGCATAAAAACATACCTGCATGTTGAATGAAGTTAATTAGAATGCACGAAATATTCATTTCGTAGAACTGCTCGGGAATTGGTATTGCCGTAGTGGATGCGCCTGTGTACTGCAAAATGTTTAATTAAATTCGTAAACAAAAGACTTACAAACGTGGTTTTGCGGCCAAGAGGCGCGCAGATTGCGGATTTAATGTACAGTTTGATGCATCATACATTTTTATTTTATAGTTTAATTAAAATTACAATCTATTTTACATTTTTAAATTATTAATAATTCAAATAAAAAGTTAAATAGTACACTATATTATTTTAGTACTAATTAATTTTTTTGCCTAAAATAGTTAAAATACAACTGATTTTTGTTTGTTTTGTAGGCGACCACATTTTAAAAGAAATAAAAATAAATGTAAACAGTTCGTATTTTTGACACTAAAATAATTCAAAATGCAACGTTCGTTGCATCTACCAACATAGAACAAGCTTATTCAATTTAATGGAATGAATTTATTTCATTCTGTTGCTGAAAATTAACGTGTACGTACAACTTTTACCACCGTGCGCGCAAATTTTAATAAAATTAAAATTTTATTTATTTTTATTTGGCATGTTAAAAATTAAGCAGTAAACATGACAGCGCAGCAAAAGCAGTACGGTTTTCACTAATAAAAATACTTGTATTAGATATTTTGTTTTCTTATTTTCATTTGCATTACGATTTTTAACAAAATAGAAACATTATCAATATTTTTACAACAAAAAATATAATTTAACGTATTTAGTAAATAAATTACTATTGTTTACAACTCAAAGTATATTATAATATTTATTTACATTTTCATGAGTATGTTTGAACTTCTGTTTATTACACTGTAGTTATTGTTCTATTATTCTAATTCTGTTAATTATAATTTACAAACGCAAACATCAGTTAATACGGTAAAAAAATAAAACTCTATACACCCGGAAATGCTACAAATAGAACAGTAATTTTAATTGTTTGTTAACCGAATCAAAATATCTCAATCTCAAACAAGTTTTAATTAGCTCCGAGTGAGCTGAGAGCTCCAAGAAGTAGCATAACGTCTTTAATTCTAGTTTAGTTTTGCGAGGGCTCCGCCACCGGCTGCGGTAATGTGGGGAGCAAGGGCCTAATGCCTAATTCCTAATTCCTAATTCAATTAAATATTCAACAAGCTGAACAACACTACCGAATTCCCGACCGAATGCTGATTAAATAAAATCTAATAACAAAGATGTCCTTTGTATTATCAACTAAACACAATTACAAATTGTGTGCATTTTTATTTAATATTAAGAAAAAATATTGAAACTTACAATAAAAATGAAATAATTCTACGATTAGTATAACAAGAGCAATCGACTAATTCTAAACGGATTTGTATGTTATTCATCCTTTAAATATGAAATCCGAGGTCTGCGGATTGTTGTCGGATCGCACGATTCGCAATCATCTCGCCAGTGTGCGCGCGCCGCCCCCAGCTGTGTTCGCTTGATATTTGCGTGCGATCCGCACTTGCGCTACACTCTTGAACCGCGTGCACCCCGCAGTTAATTAATATTGTGTTGGCATTGCCATTGCCATGCATGTCGGGCTTGCCGTCTCCGGATTCAAAGCCGCTAATGAAAATGCCGGAGGATGTGTTTCGACTTGGCAAGTGCGGCGCGCTAGTTATCGAGTATGAAATGAAGCACGGTGATGGCGGCAGCGGTGCCGGCGGTGTTTCAAGAGACTCGAAATCGAAAGCGCGCGCGACCTCCACAAAATTAACTCGCATTCTGATTACGCTAAATTATAATTAAATGGGCATCCTCAATAACAACAAATAATTTTGCTAATTGTTCTATATACTGCAATTAACACATTTATCATTTGAGGATAAAAACGTCAGTTATGTTCAAAAATATAAGTTTTATATTAAATCTTTTGTTGAATAAACTAAGGAAACTTTAAACTTTTAATAGATATCTACCTTTGAAAAGTGTTAAAAACTTTTTACTAAACTATGTGCGAAAAAAAGTTTGGAACACATTTAAATTCAAAACTGTTCAAACTTTCTTGGGAATAAAACTTAATTTTAGAATGATAAACATCTATTTAAGCTTTAAAAAATGTTGTGTTTATCAAAATCCATATTTTAAAGATGCCTTTCTTTCTGATAGAGTTTGACGTCATAACATGGGAGGATTTTAGCACAACATAATATCATCTCAAGCAGAGTGTGAGGGAACAAGCGAGACTTCACCGCCGGCGCCGTCGACGCGTTCTTGTCTAACGTAAGAGAATTTAAAAATCGTTTTGCGATTAAATTCGATAAGCACAAATTGGATTCGCTCGGTTTACGCGATATCGTATCCACCGCACTCAACCAAGCTCGCAACTACACCGATTTCTCAAGTATGAGTATCATTATTATTAAATTTATGCAAAGCTATACCATAAGAACGACAATTTCCAAGAGTACATTTGTATTTAGATTTTTGGCACCTAATTAAGGAAATAGTCTAGGTACGCGCATGTTCGACTCCTAATTGAAACTAAAGTCGGGGTAGGTTACGCGCGGTATCAATTTGTGTTCGGGTTCGAATGGACCACTGCTAACTCCCCTAATGCTTTCGAGTTTGAGGGTTTGCAAGTTGCGCGCGGTGGCAAATTTTGAACAAAAGGCCCAACGGTAATAAGCGTCCGAGTTGCATTACAGTTGATCAAATTTTAACTAGTTTGACCACACTAATGTCCTAAAGCCAAAACTTGTTTTTCCCACAAATATTTTTAACAAAAAAAAACAAAATAGAGTTAAATATGCGACTATTGTATGCGTAGGCTGTTAGGGCGTGAATTATGTGCGTTGTCGGGCTGTTTGGTGGTGGTTGTGTGTTGTCGAGCCGAGATAGGCATCGTGGTGGAGGCGCCGGGCACCGTGTGCCGTCAGGCGGTAAAGAGGAAGGACGTTACTGATAGGCCCTTTTATGTACTTGATACAATATTAATTACAAGCGCAAATTGACCGTTGCAAGCACGAAAATGAATAGCATTATAACGCCGAGCAACCCCAAAGCCGTGCAAGGCATCTAAGCATACACCCACACTCGCACACAAACATAACCCTCTTTACGCTCACATCACACTTGGAACGCTTTATATGCGCCCTCCACTTTCGCATGAAACTACGTTGAAATATCAACAACAACGCGAATTCAAATTCGGTACTCTAGACGAAAAAGTTTTGCTTATCGGCGCACATACTTCAAAAAGGTCATCAATAAACTGTCCGCAAACTTTTTACAGACTTAACCTTGGATTGCTACGCACAATTTATCATTCGAAGAATGTGGTTTTCAGAAAAAAAATCCCTGGTGTAAATTTGGTGTGAAGCATAAAAAAGCTTGACAGTGTATGAAAACGTTTCATAAATTTTTGCGCGCACCGGTACGAGCGTGAAGGAAACGTTGAATAAGAAATGTGGAAAATGGGGGGTGGAGTGCGCTGGAGACCGCGCATGCCATAAATTAATATTACGCTACTATAAAATCCGTTTTTATGACTGTAAAACCGTGGAAAATTTATCTATAGATTGTTAGACGTTTAACGCAATGGAAAATTGCGAGTGTAATACTGTTTAAATTGGCACTTACTAAATATTTCAATATTTTAATAGTGTATAAATATTATTTTTAGCGAGTTAATTAGATGGATAAAATTAAACATTACCACATTAACAAAATATTAGTTTTTGTCAAATTTTAAGTTGGGTTATCATTATCTATTGATTTATACATTTTAAGAAATTCATTAGATTAAAAATACAACAATATTGTTCACTTTTTGATATTTCTAACATAAAAAATGTTAGAAAGTGAAAAAATCTAATTTGAGGGTAATGCACGCAAGGTGTCTTTCAAACAAGCGCATTGTCATGCTCGGCTTTGAGCATTAAAGGAATAACACAAAATGTACGCTTTTATTTCCACTTTGTGTGAGCTGCGTCAAGTTTCCGCGACTAAGTGTATCTCTATCGTCTCGAAGGTGTATTCTTTTCATCTTCGAGACCTTTCTGTACATCCCCAGACGCACCACAATATAAATAACAAAATATTTTGAGCTTTAAACAACTTTTTTTACAATATTGTTCCCATAAACATATTTAATTTATTTGCAAAATATAAAGTTTGTATTATAATTTTGCGCCAAACATGCAACAAAATGATGATGAAAAGATTCTTTTATACTACAAACAGAAAGATTGTTTTAATTTGGCGCTGGCGTTGAGGTAATATCGAGGTGCGCGCGGCTGATTCGTATGAAAAACGCGTTTTTCTTCGCGTCGGAGAAAAATAACCGGCGCCCCGAACCGCAGTCTGCTTTATACGCGAAGATATAATGCTCCAATTTACTTTTATTATTTTCCAGCCGAGCACCGACCTCTTTCTCTCGCAGCGATTCTCACAGCGAAATGATAAATAATCCAATAATTCCCTTTAGAAACTTAATTATTATTTTTTCCAACAGCGCACCGCTATCGTGGTTTCGAGGTTTTCATAACTTCATGTTCAAAGCTTTTGATGTCATGAACTCTGTTTTTCTTTTTAGGTAAAATTAATTAAACATAAATATAAAATTAATCAATAACACAAATTAATTAACTAGCTCCACCTACGCTGTGCGCATCAAATTTTTTACAAGTTTAATAGTTACAGATATTATTTTCAATCCTATTTGATTTAAAAGCAAGTTTCAGTTAACAAAGAACAGTTGCTAAGTCCAATATCATTGATAGCATTCAATAAATCAAACGACGGCAGGTTTTGTGATGTGGAGCGTAGTTTCCAAGTACTTGTCGGCGAGCCGGCATTTACGAGAATTGTGGGCTGTAAAAGAGGCGTAATGCATGTACTCTTGTTGCCGTGCTTGTGGGTTCATTCTACTGTGACTAAACAACTACGCGTCGGAGGCGGCACTGACGACAACGACAGCGACGGCGCCCATTTTAACAAAAATCACCGCACATATTTAAATTGTATAAATTTTTTACACGCTATATTTATTTTTCAAATTGAAAGTAGATATTATTTGAAATAAATTCTTTATCTTAACATCCTGTGCGGTTATCCGATAACATGTAGGAAAGCAAACAAGCTGGTGGTAAAGAAAACGCTAAAACGGAAGTGTAGCAAAGGCGTACAAAAGAAAAACTGGTAGAATAATGCACAATCGATTTCGAGTCCTTTCTACCTTTCGGGCGCATTATGTTGTTTGTATGTTGTGCAAACCAACACAAGTTGCTTCTGCCAACAATCGACAACAATACGTCTATTGGCGTCAACACATATGCTTCGACACATTAATGTTACCAACAAGTTTTATAAACATTTTTATCCCTTAACTATATACATCATACTTGTATAAATATATTTACTTCATAAAAAATAACACTTTTGTTGGTAAACTTATAACATTTTTTTATGTTTTGTTCTACTTCCACTTGTGTGGTGTATTTTATTGCTGGGCGAAACCGAACAAAGCGGCAGCAACAAAAAAGAACATATTATTGAGGATGGTTTTTATTTTTGTATTGATTTGATTTTCGCCGTTAATGTTTTTCGCTTTTTTCCACCTGCGCAAATATATTAAATCGAATTACGTCGCAATTCAATAATCGTAATGCGACGTAGATATAACGAGGCATTCGTTGGGATAACAAACAAGGAGAAAACACTATGGACTCGTAAATCGCAACGTTAATAATTTATTTTCCAGTTTAACGCTTCGAATGATCACTGATATTTTCAAATACTGCTGAAGCAATATAAAAATTCAATAGGACTACTCGTTTTAATCGTGATATCATATCAGGATTAAAATAGAAAACATTTGCATTGCATTTAGTTTTATTGAATAATGTAAATCTTCTATGTTTTGCAATAGTTGGATTTTTTTAAATTGTTAGGTAAATATATGTAAATATTGTACTAGTTTGCATCAATGTTTATTGAGAAAAATGAATTCATTTTGCATAATTTGAAACAAATCTTGCAATATTAGTATTGGCAAGATTGATGTATACCTACTCCTGGATTATCTGGCTGAGCACAGCCGCCACCCCAAGACACAACACCAACTTGGGTATTACCAAGCATCAATGGACCACCAGAGTCACCTTGGCAAGAATCCTTGCCATTACTAGCGGCGCAGATCAGATTCCTTGTAATTGTACTGTCTCCGTAGTTTTTCAGGCAGGTGGCTCTATTAGGTAACCATGTTAACTTCTACAGCTCTCAAATTCCTGGCAGTTGAACCTCCTTCAGTTGTGTGACCCCAACCAGTGTCTCTTACGACAGTATTATCTCTAGGTTCACTGTTTGGCCATTGAACAGGAGTTGCCGTAGTGATTGCTTGGTCTACTTTGAGTAATGCAATGTCGTTATCAACAGTACGACGGTTGTAATCAGCATGCTGGATAATCCTGGTTACACTCAAAAGCTGACCTCCACTTGATCGGTCGGCCGAACCTGCCCGGATAGTTATGGTCGAGGCTTGTATACCATCAGTGCAATGCACCGCTGTTATGATGGTGTTTCTATTTAGAACACTTCCTCCGCAGGCAAAACTTCCATATATAAACATGGCAGCTTGGTATGATGCTTGATCGAAGAGGATTTCATAACCTCCAACAATTTTTCCTTCTTGACTATCGTCATCGTCCACTTCTACCGGTTTACCTTTATAAGAATAAAAGCAATATTCAACATTTATATATATATATATATATATATATATTTATATATATTCATACATAATAAATAAAAAATAACTTACAGTAAACGCTAAAAATAGCACAGAATAGGATTGTTAGTTGGATGGTCTTCATGTTGAACTGTCTTTGAACTGACAGAATCTGCAGTTTGGGCTATTTATACTGAATTTTTTGATAACATATACTAATTTCTAAATATTTTGTGCAATATTGGACTATATCTAAACTTATTTGCTTACCGCTCAAAGCAATAACTAATTTAAATTTATTTGATAACAACAATTGTAGAGCAATGTTCTTTTGGTACATAGTTATACACTTTACTAGTAATTTTTACTAGTAAAAATTTACTAGTAATGAAACATCTTACAGATTGAGCCTTCAAATTAGTAAAGTAATTCTTATTGGTATTGCATGGTCCTGTTGTAGCTAAAGCAATTATCTTTCCAGATTGGTCAGCAAGCGGTGACCCGGAATCTCTTTGCAATTTAAAAGTTTTCATACAATTTTGTAAACATTACGCATCTTATTTACTTACACAGCAATCAGTAATAGAACCATTTTCAGTGTAACACAAAGTACTTGTAAAACAAACTTGTTGGTCAAGCAGGATTTTTTCTTGTTAATGAGTTCTGATGAATGAAAATTAATTGCTCTATAAAAGTGTTCGCAATACTTGTTTGTTACTGAAAGTCTCCTATAGCTAATAATTATGATGAAATATAAAGTATTGATTAATAATATATTTATTGTACTTTCTTTGGTAACTTTTCACGGCATCCAGTATATGTTTAGTTTTTTGCAATCCCGGGGCAGAATCTTAATACTTTGCTTGCAAAATGTCAACCAGTTTTTTGTGTCAACCTTCGTACTCTATACTTTTAATTTTTCTTTTAATTTGGAATTCTTTTCTATATCTTGGTCGCCTTTTAAAACAGAAAACTCTGTCTGTCTATACTTTGAAGAGGTGCTTGCTTCACAGAAGTTTTGACATAGATTTTCTAAAGTTCTAGGCAAATTACAAACATGTAATACAAGTTTTTAGAAATAAACATGTCTTATTTAATAATAAATAATAAAAATACAAGTATTGTAGTTTCTTGGAATATAAATATAATTAATAAAAACTTGCCGGAGGTGCCAAACTTTATAATTAGAGGTGTTACAAATTAATTAAAATTATTAACAGTAGTGTAGAGAGAGACCTCTAGTTACCAAATTAATACAACTTATTTCTTAACTAGCGACCCGCCCCGGCTTCGCACGGTTGCAATACTGATACTAAATACACTACAGAAAAACTGTGAACGTGTGGTATAAAATATATAGCCCATGTAATTAAAATCGATCCAGTAGTTTTGATTTATTCATTACTGCCCGTGGCCCGCACGCGTTAAATTTGGAGTAAAACAATCCCCCTTCCTATACCATGAAGATTTCCTGCTATCTTTGGAATATCTAAATTCATACACTACATTTTTACTTATTTACTTTTTACATTTTATAGTATGTGCCGCAGTAAAAAATATCTAAATTCTTACCATTTAGAAACAAAAGATAATCAACAATCATAAAAAACAAAAGATACCTATTCTATTCAGTTCTTTTTTTTTTACTGAAATACCTCTAATTTATATTTTAAAACTACTATCATACAATTATTTATCGTAACTTACTTATAATTACTGATACGTTGTCGCGCTGAAAAGAACGTTTTTATTACCTAAGTATTGCTATTTTCCTCGCTGGAGAGCTCCGATATAATAAGCGTGCCCGATCGCTGCGAAATTCAAAGTGCTACAGAGAAAACCGCGGCCGGCCGGTACCGCCGAAAACGCTACGTCCGCAATTTTAAAAAAATCCGTTGCGTAGTTTCAAAGATTTAAGCATACAAAGGGACAGACAGAGAAAGCGACTTTCCTTCTCCAAACAAAAACATCAACCGATCAACTTCAACCCACACGCACACGTCTGTGCTTAAGGGGGGGAAGCTACGAAGCATCGCACAAAGAGTAGACGGCGATAATATCATATTAGAAACTCAAAAATAACAGTACTTCTCCACTATTTAATGGATGTTATTATACATACAAACCTTCCTCTTGAATTACTCTATCTATTAAAAAAACCGCATCAAAATCCGTTGCGTAGTTTCAAAGATTTAAGCTCACAAAGGGACCGGAAAAAAAAGCGACTTTACTTTATACTATGTAGTGATGATTGAATTAAAAATTTATCATGGTGATGCCTTTATGTGCAGAATCCATCTGCCTCAAGACAAAACGAAAACATACAAAAACGGAAAACAGCATTGCGTATCATACAAAATTCGACATCAGATAAGCTTTATCTTTTGCAGTTTAAACGTAATGGAAAACAATGTTGCAATGCAATTTCTCGAAAATTGTCATAAATATCAGACATATTTTTTTATGCCATTGTCTGAATAAAAAGTATGACTGATTTAGCTTTTTGATTTCCCGAGAACAGCAAAAAAAAAACAGTTTTTCAATGCGATAAAATAGACCTAGTCATTTTCCAGTGACCATATTAAACTCTCCAAAATAGTGGAAAATTTTGAAACGGAACAATATGAACCACTTTTCGGATTTTCACGAAACTGTCCAATCGGATGTAACATAATGCAAAGAATCAAAAAAGCAATTTCTGTTGCAATAACGTAACTGGTTTTCAAGTTATTAACTATTTTCAATAATTATATAAGTGTAATTAACCAAAGAAAAGATAAAGTGCTATATGATGTAAAATTTTACCCTGTACGCAAATTTTGTATTATCTTGATTAGTTTGGTATAAAAACGCGAAAATATTTTAATCCTTTTTTGCTCAGACCTAGATAAAATATGAATTTGAAAAATTAATTTTACTAATATTTGTTATCAAGTTAGTGTTGAGTTAAGTTTTTGTGATAATTGCCTGTTGTGTAATTCTAATTAAAGCCTTATTAGTACAACTGTAATATTTTTTTAAGAATTTATACATTTACTACATTTTAGAAAAAAAATTACAATGTCTTCTTGCTGGGTGATTCAGATTCAGATTTAGGGTCATTTAGACTTCTGTCTTCTTTTACTTTTGGTTTGCACAGGTACCTGCAGAGCACACGTACACACGCACTTGGCTTACCACCTCAATCTTTCTTTCCACTACCTTTTGCAGGGATCACTGCCGTAGGTATAAAAAAAAATCAGAACTAGGAAAGCGCACAGTTATACTAATGTGTTCTAAAAGGCCAGTTCTAGGTCTCTAGGTTTCTCTCTCCCTTACTCCTCTTTTCGAGTCGAATTAGATATCTCACTTACATAATGACTACTTTGACACAATATTTTGAGCTTCCCGTCCACATATATAAATCACAACGTTAGTACTTTATTTTCCAGTTTAACGCTTTGAGTGATTAGTGATATTTTTAAAAGCAGCTAATGCAATATAAAAATTCAATTGAGTACTCGTTTTAATTATGATATCATATCAGAATTAGAATAGAAAACATTTGCATTGTATTTAGTTTTATTGAATTATGCAAATCTGTTTTGTTTTGCAATATGTGGATTTTTTGAAATGGTTAGTTAATATATGTAAATATTGTACTAGTTTGCATCAATGTTTATTGATAAAAATGAATTCAGTTTGAATTATTCGAAACAACTCTGGCAATATTAGAATTGGCAAGATTGGTGTATACTCCTGGATAATCTGGCTGAGCACAGCCGCCACCCCAGGACACAACACCAACTTGGGTATTCCCAAACATCAATGGACCACCAGAGTCACCTTGGCGAGAATCCTTGCCATTACTAGCGGCGCAGATCATATTCCTTGTAATTGGACTGGCTCCGTATTTTTTTCTGGCAGGTGGCTCTATTGACCATGATAACTCCTACAGCTCCCAAATACCTGGGTGACACACCTTCACTTGTGTGACCCCATCCAGTGACTCTTACGACAGTATTATCTCTAGGTACAGTGTTTGGCAATTGAACAAGTGTTGCCGTATTGATTGCTTGGTCTACTTTGAGTAATGCAATGTCGTTATCAACAGTACGAGGATTGTAACCAGCATGCTGGATAATCCTGGTTACACTCAAAAGCTGACCTCCACTTGATCGGTCGGCGGAACCTACCCGGACATTTATGCGCCGCTGCTACTTCTGTTTAGAACGCTTCCTCCGCAGGCAAAACTATCATATACATGTAAACATGGCAGCTTAGTATGATGCTTGATCGTAGGGGATTTCATAACCTCCAACAATTTTTCCTTCTTGACTATCGTCATCTACTTCTACTGGTTTACATTTATAAGAAAAAATAATATTCAAAATTTATTCATATAATAAATTAAAAATAACTTACAGTACCTAATCGCTAAAAATTACACAGAACAGGATTGTTAATTGGACGATCTTCATGTTGAACGGCCTTTGAACTGACTTCATTCAAAATCTACAGTATGGGCTATTTATACTGAATTTTTCGATAACATATACTGATTTCTAAACAGTTTGTTCAATAACAAGCTATTTCTAAACTTATTTGCATCCCGCTCAAAGTAATAACTAATTTAAATTTATTTGATAACAATAGTTGTAGACTGTATTTTTTCTGTATTTTATACACCTGTTTTACTAGTAATGAAACTTCTTACAGATTGAGCATTCAAATTAGTAAAGTAATTCTTATTGGTATTGCAAGATCCTGTTGTAGCTGAAGCAATGGCAATTATCATTCCAGATTGGTCAGCTAGCGGTGACCCAGAATCTCCCTGCAATTTAAAAATATTTAATTTTCTAAACATTGCGTATCTTATTTACTTACAAAACAAATAGTAATAGCATCATTTTCAGTGTAAAACAATGTTGATGCTTGTTTGTTAACACCCAAAAGGCTAAACAATCCTCCTAGGAGATTTACTACAAAATTATTTGGTTTGACTGTGACGTATCCATAGCGCAAAAGGTCTGAACTAGGACCGTTTAAAGTGGTGTAACCCCAGCCAGCAATCAAAGCGTTTTGTTTTTGTTGTGGGAACGACGAAGCAATTACTCCTGCCTTAATTGTATTACTAAATACTAGAGATGATGATAGCTTAAGCACACAAACATCATTTGCGTATGTGGTACTGCTGAATCCATCATGTCGTATGACTTGAGATATTGATAATAGGGAACCCTGCGTTTTGTTGGTAGTACCCGCTCGAATCTTGTAATTGGAAGCCGAAGTTCTAAAATATAAATATTATTTTAAAACTTAATTCTAATTAATTGGGTCGAATTTATTCTTACGAAGTGCAGCAGTGTCCAGCTGTTAAGATCCAATCTTTGGATAAAATTGTACCAGCGCATTGCGAATTATCAGCAAATACTACAACTTGATAGGGAACCTCAGATATGTCGATCAGTTGTCCGTTGATAATGCGATTGCGGTCTTCGGATGCTGCAGGCGCAAGAAATGCTGCCAAACATAAGAGTAGAATCTTCATCTTGAAATAATGTTATAATACTAGAATCAAGATAAGATTTAACTTGGGTTTTTATATGTTTTTGTAATGTATAGTCACTAAAAAATAATGTTTACCGTCATGGAGGCTTAAAATTGTTACAAAATAGCACAAAGAATAATCCCTCATGCGTCATTAGAATAAATCAACAAATCAACAACATTCTTAAAGTTTGAAATATCATGTGACATCAATAAATATAAAAATTAAGAATCATCAGAACTTTTCTAAACTTCTTTTTCCGTTATGCTACTTTCTATTTGGCACAAAAAAACAGTATGAATTAATTTGAAACACTCATTATATAAGGGTTTAAATTTACATTCTTAGAATTAAATAATGAACTCAGAGAATATAGTAAGATGAATTTATTTTGTTATAATCATTTCTCACAAAACGATACCAGTATTAGTGGTGATAAAAGTTTTTACTGACAAAGCCGTCATATCAGTAAAGTAATTTTTACTTGGATCACAATTTCCTGTTGTAGCTGAAGCAATTGCAAAAACTTTACCATCTGACTCCTGCGCTAAAGGTGACCCAGAATCGCCCTAAAAACACAGAATTACAGAAATAAGTACCATTTTTTAAAGAAGCTTACAAAGCAAACAGTGATATCATTATTCACTGTATAGAACAAAGTAGATGCTTGTGGCGTTTTTCCCAATAATTTTGCTACTAAATCCAATACAGTTGTCAAAAGTCGTTGCACAATATTCTCTGATTTTACTTGAACAATTCCATAATGCAAAACGTTCGTAGTCGGCCCGCTCTGAGTCAGATATCCCCAACCAGCAATTAAAGCGTTTTGGGTTTGTTGAGGGAAGGTCAATGCCAATTGGGCAGGTTGAATAGAGTTACTCAAAGTCAATGAAGAGGACAATTTAAGTAAACAAGCATCATTTTCATAAGTAACGTTGTTATAATTCGAATGCCTGATAACTTGCGATATGGATAGCCATGACCCCACGCTTTTGTTTGTGATACCAGCTCGGATTTTATAATCGGCTGATGCAGTACTAAATAAGTGAGTTATTGTTATTTTATTTAAAATTGTTATGCTTTAAGAATATTAAACTTACGAACTGCAACAATGTCCAGCTGTCAATACCCAACTTGTGGATAAAATAACACCTCCGCATTCAAAATTGTCAGCTAAGACATAAACCTGATAAGGTACAGCTGTGATATCTATTAGTTGACCGTTGATTATACGTTCTCTGTTATCAGCTGCAACATTGTTAGAAATTGCTACAAGAATCAAAGTTAACAAAAACATTTTCAATTGTATTACAAGTATTTTTGCACAAAAATACAAAGCACTTTGTGATTATATATTACAAAGACTTTGTTGAAATAATTCAATTCAAATAAAACTTCAAGGCCGTACATGATATGCTAATACTTTAATTCATTATTTTCCAGTTATCTGATAAATAAAATCCCTATGAAATGCTACACTGACAAACAAGTCGTAATTCAAAGTTTTGCCACAAAGTTGTGTCCAAGTTGCGATACCGTACAGAATACCATCTTTTGTTGCTAAAACTGATCCAGGATTTTCATTACAGAATCCACGTCCATTTCCTCCCGTGCAAATAATATCATCACTAATTAAATGTTTTGATAATTGATTCACTCTTATGCTGCATTGATTTCTATCAACAATAATAGATTTTAAAGCACTTAGAAGAACATTACTATATTTTGGGGAATTTGCATGTGGGCCCCATCCAATGGCATATAGTTGTGCCCCAATTTGTAGTTCATGGTCCGCCATTTTGATAGCTTTTACTCGGCTGTCAAACAGAATGTTCTGTTGTAACGATACAACCGCAATATCATTTGCAAACAGTATTTTAGGATTGTAATTTGGATGTATATGAATTGCATCAATAATAGAAGTATGTCCTCCAGCTGTGAAGTTACTGGAACCCACTCGGATCATTTTTGGATTTGGTACAAAACATGAAGCCGAGGTTAGAACCCATTTTGGAGAAATCAAAGCACCACTACAGACAAAGTTTGTTTTGTTATGTAAAGATGCTTGATACGGAAATTGATCAATTGTAATTCCTAAAACTTTGAGAAAAATTGAGGTTAAGGCAAAAACAAGAATAACTTCTATGAAAACTCTCATTTTTTTACTTTAAACAATTTGTAACTCGGGTGTTACTTCCTAATCTTTGTTCTCAAATTTATGTAAATATATTATGTGATAACTATGCAAATATTATTTATTCATAAAAAATACGAATGTGTACCTACGTTTCTAAATGTCTAATCTAGTTACAGCTCTAACGTAATCCTTCAAATTGGGCACGTTGCTAAACACGCCTGGGGAAATCGGTCTGGCACATCCCGCCGCCCACGAAACAATTCCCACTTGTTTACCCTGATACACCAGTGGACCTCCCGAATCGCCTTTACAAATATTCTGTCCGCCAAATGTATAACCAGCACAAATCATTCTATCGGTTACTTTAAAAAAATATCGAAAATTGCACGTCAATCGTCGTACAATTGGAATTTCCACTGAACGGAGTACAGGTGAAATATAAGGTACACCATCTGCCATGGTGCCCCACCCGGAGACCACTCCAAATGCGCGTATAGGCGGTTCATAATCAGCCAACTCAATAACTTTCACTTTGTCAGAAAATTCCAATTCAGATTCGAGTTCAATCAACGCTATATCATAATCGATTGTAGCAAAGCTGAATTTTGGATGTTCATGTATTTTGGCAACTTTATAAACCGTACCGTTTGCTATTGGTGAACTGGAACCAGCTCGGATTGTGAATAAATCGTGTGGTCGGCTAAAATAATCAAAATAAAGCGATTCTGTTTGTTAATTATTTATATTAATTACCCAAAAGTGCAATGAGCAGCTGTTAAAATCCATTTCTTGTCAATTATAGACCCACCGCAAGTTAACTTTCCAACTAACTGTAAAGCAACTTGATATGGAAATTTCGATATATCACTTTGTTGGCCATCCACGAGTTTTCCATAGTCTTGATGCCACGCGAAAACAGGCCAAGCAATAAACATTTGCAAAACTAGGAACCAATAAATAAACATTTTGTTATCGCCTTGCACAAAGTGATTAGATTCAACTTGAAATTGTTTAAATAACTGACACCATTCTTAGCATAAACATGTATTTATATCAATATGACAGTAACATTCAAATAGGAACTTATTCATGGTAGAAATTCGCAGAACTGAATAAGTTTATACAGCACCAAATTTGACTTAATTAAAACGTGAACAATGAATTTGAATGAGTTCAATTAGTTCTGAGTTGACATATAAGCGTATAACTAGGTAATTCAAGTCGTTAGATAAAATTGGTCGTTTAAGTGATTTTAATTACGCTTTAATCACAATGAAACTGTGGCAAGCTACAAAGTTCAATAAAGATGATTTATTTCTAGTTAAACAAAGAGAAATACAAAACTACAAAAATAAATTACATAAAATTCAAGGAGATGTATTGGTGGCATTTTTAATAAACTCAATCACACTTGATACTTGAGTATAAACACCTGGTGAGGCAACGTCTCCACATCCTCTGCCGAAGGATACTATACCAACCAGCTTGTTTTCAAATTTGACAGGTCCACCAGAATCACCCTAAAAGATTAATAAAATTATGAATTTATACACTTAAGGATTATCTTTATAAAAAATTACCTGACAAGAATCTTGTCCTCCAAAGAAATTTCCGGCACAAAACATTCTTGATGTTAATTTTAAGAAATATTGCAACTGGCAGGCATACCATGACTGCACCCTCACATCAACTCCTAAGAGATGGTCGGAAACTTCACCACCGCCTCCTTGTTTAGTGGTACCCCATCCTGTTACGTATGCCATACTGCGCGAACGAACTGGTGTGGTTGATAATTCAATTGCGGAGACATTTTCATTGAAAACCAAAGGTTGAGCAAGATGCAAAACAGCCACATCATAATCCACAGTTTCTGCGTCATACTCCGGGTGGGGCGTCATTTTGGTAACTGCTATCTTCTGACCGTTGGTATCTGAGAGTTTTGTTTGGCCTGCTACTATACTCAATCCATTTACATTTCTATGAAGTGAAATAATTTCATAAATTGAATTTAAGTTGTGCATAATTTGATAGAATACCTAAACCCTTCAACACAGTGTGCTGCTGTAACAATCGATTGGTCATTGTATATGGACCCACCACAAAAGTGTTGATTGTGATACCGGAAAGAAATTTGATATGGCACCTCGCTGATGGGCACTGGATTACCACCAATAATCTTACCTTCTTCTCTTGTTTCACCTAAATCATGTGCCTTGCTCTAAATTATTGTTTTTATTGGATGTATGTTACTTACTTAAATAGACTAAGCTACAAAGCAAAGTACTAAACAAAAACAACCACATGATGATATTGTGATTAAGCCGCGATCAATTAAAACTAAATTCTGACTAGTAGTAAGCAGTGTCTCGGAGTTTTTATACTGTTTTGTCGGTATAGTTCCTTGTTTGGATTTGAGGACACGCAGCAAGCGTATTCTATTTGTTCTGACGTTCTGTACGTACGTAATCTCCATTTGCAAAACATTGACCGATAGGAATTTGAATTTTTTATTGCTGTACTAAATGTTGGGCGCTTGTCACCGTTTTTCTTATCTAAATCGTTCTGCGAACTCAGTCTTTTAATTGTCACGGGACTGTGTTAATTAGGCCAGTGAATTGACAGCTAGCATGGAGTACGAATGTATTTAAATGTTTATGGTTTGTTGTATATCATTGATACTGTTTAAATTCGAAAAATCCTGAGAACTATTCGAAAAACGTATGGACTTAATAATACAATTACATAGTATTGAATATTTGGTTACCTACGCCGAACATTTCACGCTGTGGTTCCAAAATTAATTGGGAATTATTCAAGTGAATAATTTTCCAAATATTTTGCAATTAAATTAATATTGGAATAACTAATTAGTTTATTGTCTAATGTCAGTAGTAATATACTCGACATGATTGTTTTTAATATATATGGAAGTTGTTTTGACGCAAAAATGCAAATTATTTCATTACTATCAGTTCATTATCGATATATTCAAATAACTTATTTGGTTAAGTTTTTTTTTGACAAATGAATAACGTAGATGCAATGATACTTTTTATTTTCCACAAGCAGTAATGGCGCAACTGGCTGCGACATTGCTAGCAAGTTGGTAAACTGAAAAAAAAAAACGCAAATAAATTATCGCTCGGAATTCGCCAGTCTACTTAGCAAACAACAGTATGCTACTTAAATATGAACGCACCGAACTGCTACTCATCATTTTAGGATGTATTTTAAAGTTTGCGAACTGTGAACGTAAGTGCCATTGTTGACTTGTTTAATATTTATAGCAATGTAACTAGTTGTGTAACAATATTTTAGTTGACTTGGACCAAGAACCTATAAGCGATGAAAACATCAGTTATGAAACTCATGACGACGATGAAGGTAGAATCATCGGCGGAGAGCTGATATCAATCGATCGTGTGCCATATTTAGTCTCGGTGCAGTATAGCCCCTTCGGGGACTTTTACGCCCACCGATGCGGCGGTTCCTTGATTGCACCAAAGTTCGTTTTGACAGCCGCACATTGCATGGTGTATGTTTCTGAACCGAATCAGTTGATGATACGTGCCGGTTCCACGCATCAGACCACAGGCGGACAAACAAAAACTGTTGTCAACTACACCATTCATCCGGAATACAACTCCAGAAATTATAACAATGATATCGCCATTTTGAAACTGTCCGGTCGTCTGTGGACCAATCAACCGCAAACTTTTATTCAAGGAATAATATCCAGGTTTACTTGGTTTATGACTCCCAAATCTCCGAGAGTTGCAGACCTGTACTTAGAAGATGATATTCCCGAAAATGCTAAGTTTTATACAGCTGGATGGGGTACAACAGAGCGAGGTGGATATGCAGTGGATACTTTGTTTGGACTAGCGGTACCATATGTAGAACAGACAACTTGTAGACAAATGTATTCAGTTAGTAAAATTCGCGACAATATGGTGTGTGCTGGGTATCTTGAAGGCGGAAAGGATACTTGTCAGGTAAAATTGGTATTCAATTTGCACCTTATTAATGATTAATAACTTATTTATTTTACAGGGTGATTCTGGTGGTCCATTAATTTATCAAAACTGTATTTTTGGAATAGTGTCTTGGGGTGATGGTTGCGCGAAAGCAAATAAACCAGGAGTGTACGCCAGAGTAAGTTCCTTTAAGGAATTTATTAACGGATACGTTGATTTCGAATAAATGTGTTGGATGCTGATTTTCTTTGTGACGTCATAAGTATGATTGTTCTGTTGATAAAGCAAGCTTTTTTCTTGTTTATGAGTTCTGAAAAATGCAAATAAATTGCTCTACATCTGTTAAAAGTGTTTGGATTACTTGTTTGTCACTGAAAGTCTTCAATAGCAAATTATTATAATAAAATTTAAAGTGTTGATTAATAAAATATTTGTGTGTGCTTTCTTTGGTTCTAAGTAACCTTTCACGGCATCCAGTATATGTTTAGTACAGCGTTTTTTTTGCAGACCCCTGGCAAAATGTCAACCAGTTCTTTGTGCCAACCTTCGCACTGTATATTTTTAATTTTTCTTTTAATTTGGATCCTTTTTCTATATCTCGGTCGTCTTATAAAACAGAAAAACTTTGCATTTTTTTACATTGATTTTCTAAATCCTTTAATATTAAATAATAAAAAATACAAGTATTTTAGTTTCTTGGATATATAAATCAAATTAATTAAAAGTTGGACCTCTAGTTACCTAATTCATACAACTTGTTCTTTAATAGAATTAAAAGTTTATCATGGAGATGCCCCTATGAGCAGAGTCCATCTGCATCAAGACAAAACGAATGCATACAAAAACGGAAAACAACTGCAATTTTAACGTAATGGAAAGCAATGTCCCTATTTTCTGTAAAACTATCACAGATATAAAAAAAATATGCTATGGTCAGAATCTAAAAAATAATTAGTATTTTTGTTTTCTCAAGAACGACAAAAAACATTTTAAATCAACCAAAGAGTGACACTTGTTTGGTTTTTGTCTCAATAATGATTCTTTAAGCTAGAGCAAAATGCAATACGCCAATCGACAGAGTTTTTCAATGTAATAAAATATATCTAATCAGTTTTCCGGTAACTTTAAATTTTCAAACAGAACAAATTGAACCACTCCTCGGATTCTCACAATACTTTCCAATTGGATGTACGAGTAATACAATGCAAAGAATCAAATAAAGCGATTTCTGTTGCAATAGCATTAGTTTTCAAGTTATTGACCATTTTCAATGTAGTGTAGTTAATGCTAGTAGTTAATGCTTGGTATGAAAACGCGAATAACATTTGCTTTTTTGCTGAAACTTAGATAAAATATGATTTTGAAAAATTTATTTTTCTAATATTAGTTATCAGATTAGTGTTAAGTAAAACTTTTGAGATAATTGCCCGTTGTGCAATTGAATAGCCTTCATAGTACAACCATAATATTTTTTTAAAGAATTAATACACTTACTACTTTTTAAAAATCACAAGGTCTTCTTGTTGGTGACTCAGTCTTCTGCCTTCTTTTACTTCTGGTTTGCACAGATACCTGCAGAGTGCACGTACACACGTGCCAGGCCTACCACCTCAATCTTTCTTCCCACTACCTTTTGCAGGGATCACTGCCGAGTGACCATTGGTATAAAAAGAAAATTCAAAACAAGCAAAGTGCACAGTTATACTAATGTGTTCTAAAAGGGCAGTCTCAGGTCTCTAGGTTCCTCCTTCCCCTCCTCCTCTTTTCAGGTCGGGTTAGATATGTCACTTACACAATGACACAATATTTTGAGCCCCCTGCCCACAAGGAGACATAGGATTGAAAAAGACAGTTCAAAAAAGTTTGAAAAAGGTAGTGTTTAATAGGGTTTAAAATTAAAACGAAGTCACTTAGGAATCTGTAAAATATATATTAATTCATTGCATAATCAATCAATACAAATATCATGTACAATCTTCATATCAAACATTTTACAATATAAATTTATGCCTCATAATTAAAATATTAAACTCTTTCGCATAGCAATAACATAACAAACAAATGCAAACAACGCATGTACCGCTTACATGACTCCAATTTCTTCTTGTAAACAAAGTAATAATACTTAAACTTGAAGTACAACTTCAGACTTATATCAATAATCTTAACAAATTAATCAAAAATATCTTTGAAGTTAGATTACGCATTGCTCCAGTAGACTATTATCAAAAGATTGTTTTTAACGTATAAAATATAAATATATCACATTAAGCAGCTGCAATTGTTTGAGAATGTCACAGACAGACGTCTACACCTCAAATATTGCATTCTCATCGCCTAGACAATCATTTAGATCGTTTTTAATTGTCTCGTAGTCATCGTTTTTGCTCTTTTCTTCGATCGATGAGGACTTATCAATACGTTCGTAGCCAGACGATTCCGAATCGGTTTTCCCATCGTCATCGTTCAGTTTTTCATATGGTGGGCTCTTGCTCTTGTTGCTACTTGCCGCGCTATCCACCGTCTCATATCCATTTTTGTTGTCAGTTTTATTTGTGGTGGTTGTCGTCGCAGTGGAATCATCATCGTCAGTTTGTTGCAATCGCTCATAACCTATATCAACATCCAAATATTTAACACTTTCATAGTTCGGATCGTTATGTTGTACTGATTCATAATTGGGATCAGTTTCACTCGCTGGCATCGATTCATAATTCGGTTCGTCAATTAGCTTCTTCTTATTCAGTTTATTTATCACCGAATATCCTAATTCTGATGTTTCACTGCTACTTTTGCTTGTAATAGTAGAGTATCCAGGTGTCGTTGATCTATCCTTAAGTTGTTCATAGTTGGGATCGTCATAGTTTAAACTATCAGGACCATTAATTGACGCATAACCAGGTTCGGAAAGTTGACTTGGTTTTGTTTTTAATTCTTCGTAACCGTCAGCGTTTTTCTTTGGTGATTTTTTCAGTGTTTCGTAATTGTGTTCGCGTAAGAGTTTAGTATCTTCGGGGCGTTTTTCTTCAGAGGAACTATTGCTTGATGTGGATTTGCGTTTAATTACATCATCGGAAGACTTCTTACGATTCTTCTGTACTTTGGCATACATATCATCCAAATTACGACGGGCATTGTCTGGACTTAATGTTAGTTGGCTTGCAGATGTTGTCGAAGGCGGAGGCGGCAAAGGTGAATTAGCTTGTCGTTTCTCAGGTTTTGGTGATCCAAGGTTCAGAATTGAACTCGTTGACGATGCTGGGAATAATTCACCATCTAACAATATGTTTAAAAAGAAACAAAAATAAAACAAAATAAAGAAAAACAATTTAAATAAAAATAATTACCTTGTCTGGAATGTGAGTTAGTCATATTCTTTAAAATATCAACACTTGGCGGCTGTGGTGCGGAATCGTCAACATTGTTAACCTGTTGTGTTTCAGATGGACTTGATTGCTGATTAGAAGAGACGGGATATATTTCCGCCGCCACCGTCAACGCTACCGGCTGGATCTGCGCGTAGGTTTCGCTTCCGCTTGTATACTCTTGATTCAACGCATCCGGTATCGTGGTGTACATTTCATCTATTCAAAAATCTTACATTTCAATCCGACTCGACGTGTAACTTTAGTATGTAATGTACTTACCAGAATCATCTGATACAGTCGAATAATGCGGATCTAAAGCACGCTTTACTTTGTTCATATCTTTTGTTTGTGCGATTATGTTGGCCAGAGGCTCACGAACGCTAATACTAGTATATCCCTCTAAAAATGTCATTAAATTATCAAAAGATACATTGGAGTTTATATAAAACATACTTGAAGAATCTTGTGAATCTCCACTAAAATTAACCTGCTGATTGGATGGATTAATTGGAGGAGTCATGTAAGGCAAGTCCTGATTAGCTGCAATGCCCCCCGCGACCGCACTAGCTGCATTAATGTCGATGTGAATGCTTTGTTCGGAAGTTCTTCTTGATCTCGGCGGTGCATGAGGTTCATTACTCGTACTGGCTTCCGCACTACAATATAAATTCATATATTAAACCTAAATATTTAAGACAATAGCTAAACTAACTAGGTAGTTACGAATTCTGTTTACCTCAACAATGATGTTCGCACCGTGGGTTCCGCGGCGTTTTCTTCGTTGTTTGTCGTTGGTGGTTTTACGATGGCATATGGATGCTCAACCTGCTGTAGTTTATCATAATTCACACTAGCATACGGCGAGAACGCATCATCCGCTTGACTGATTGAACTGTGCTGGGAAATACTCGCCCTGGCATCCAAACCGTTCGGTAATGTATGCCGCTTACCACCGATGTTATTATACGGCTCCACAGTGGCATACAACTCCGAAGAATTATCCCCATTCGCATCCCATACCTGCCCTTGTAAGGCATGTCCTTCAGACGGTATATCTGGCAAGCTTCTCCTTGTGTTGTTTGTTTGGACGGTCGGTCTATACAAAATTCATTAATTAAACTTAAAAACAACTGGTGCATGCAAACAACGAGCAGGCAATTAATATGCTAATGAGGTACACTTAGAAAAAATGTTTTGTGTTAAAGCATAAATAAAATAAGCACCGTTTGCTAGCTTCGAGCGTGGTTTGTTCGACATCGGAGGTAACATTCGCGGTGCATTCGGCAGCGACGTGCAAGCTGACGGCGACGGCAGGGGCGGCGGACGACAACGGAATGTGATTCACGTTTTCGTCGGGATTCTTTTGCTTCACCATGCCATCAAGCCCTAGCCAATCATCTCTACAAAACAAAACAACAAAAACGAAAAACATAACAAAATGCATTACAAAACAAAGAGCAACGAAAACTGAACAGTTCAGTTATTTATTGATGAATTGAGAACGCAACATGCTTGGAGAACAATTCCAACAGAAAAATATTTTGTATGAAACTTTGCATTGTCAAGATTTGGTTGATGAATGCAAAGCAGTATGTATGAGTGAAGATTTGTACGACTTACTTTTGCTCTTGTCTTTTCCAACAAGAGCACAATGCTAGCACGACGACGAGAGTAATCGCGCCACATATTGAAACAGCAACAATCCACATGATTAATTTACTCACAGCACATCACTGCTCACCACATTGTCATTAGAATTGATTGTTTTAAACGCTTGTAGCCGTGATTCATTTTTTTCCAAGCGACAGCTTGGAAATGTGTTATAAAGGTCGAGCTAACGATGCAGTCGCACTGGGTCGCACCTTCGCGTGGAGTAAAAATCACGAATCTAAAGTGCGCTAAAGTGGAACACTCGTTGTGTGTGCGTGATGCAATGATGCAAGACGAAAACTACTCCTACTCACTATCTTAGAACATTCGGAGTCGTACGTCGATTAATCCAAAACGTAATCCCCGGTGATGGATATTTGCACTTATCGTTTAAAGTATTTCCGCTGTCTACCGCAAATATTCACTATACTCGCATACAGAATCGAACATCGAACACGAACAGTTAAGCCTAAGTGAACGGCAGTACGAAAACGCTGGAAATGTAAGGAGCGAGCCGTGGGCACGGAGCGAGGCGGCGAGAAAAGTGAGCGGGATCTTGATCGTTTGGCGCGTCAGCAATCATCAAGTGAGCGTTCACTACGTTCACCGTTAGATATGTAGAATTTGCCGAAGCACAAAACGCATCGGCTTCACTAGAAATTATACGAAACTGTAGCAACCTCGGCAACTGAAACGAGATCGGGTTGCAGGAAACTTGAAACGAATTAGAAACAATTGAAGAGCTAAGGTGGAAGGCACGTAAACCACGAAAACAAATATTATTTACACCTTTTGACAGATAATACTGCATACAGTGTGTCATGCTTTACTTTAGCTTTGCCAATCTAAAATATTCCAAATAATACTAATTTCTTATATATTATAAAGCGTAATGTGATTTTACAATATATTTTTAACAATAGAATTATTAACTATCTATAAATTTTACATTGGACATTAAAATTTCGAAAATAAAATTGAAGTGTCAAGCAGACTTCACGAGCTTTTACGAAGTGTTTTCCCACATTTCAAATGAATTTGAGGTTAATACAATAACATGCGAACATATCTCGCAATTTACAAAATTTTCAACAAATAAATTCGTCTACAAGTGCATCGGTTCCAGCGCAAAATGGAAATTAATTTTGTCGATCCTCCTAACCGTCAGATGAATTCAGCCTTTTCACCGGCGACATGTCCTTCAATGTACAAAGACACCCTCTTCATGGACTTCTCCGGCGATGGGCACTTTCTTGTTGGCAGTACGGACGTTACAGCAACCTTCTGGCAGGGCTCCTCCAAGTATTCGCAAGTTTCGACGATTATAACAGCGCTAAACACGAATCCTTCTACAACAGTCCCATTATCTTTGATGGTAAATTTTTACCAAACAATAGACAAATTATCTCTGAAAGTGAGTCCAAACTGAAAATTCTATCTCAGGCTGAAGTAAAGAATGATAACAATGAAGCCTGCTTGCAAATAGAAGATTGTGTTGAGCATAGTGAAGTAATTAAACAAATATCCCTATGGAAAGATGAGAATAAAGTTCTCACTGCTTCAGATAATCATATCTCACAGTGGGATATCAGTAGTAATCTTAAACAAGTTTGGGACTTCACAGATTATCACACTAATGTAATTACTGGGGTGGACACAAAGAGTAGTGATAAAAATCTGTTTGTCTCTGTGGGAAGAGACAGGAGAGCTTGCCTCTGGGATGTGAGGACTGAAGGAGTTGCAATTGAATTATTTAAAAATGAATTCTGTAGTTTGACTTGTGTGGCTTGGAGTTCAGTGGATGAGAATACTGTGATTGTTGGCTCACAAGCTGGAAGTATGTACATGTTGGATGTGAAGATGCCTCAGGATTTTGTTACTTTTCAGAACTGTCACAAGAAAAATATTCACAAAATACAGTTTGAGCAGGAGTCAAATCTGCTGGCTGTTGTTGGTGATACAAATGAACTGCAGGTTTACAATTGTAAAGGAAACGAATTTAATTTGAGTTATAAATGTGTTGATAAGCATAGGGATTTCTTAAGAGATGCTAAATGGTTCAATAGAGTATTGTATACTTGTGGCCTGCAGAGCTGTGTGATTAAACATTCCTTTTAATGTTTACATGTACTTTTAAATTACTTAAGAATGACCCTTAATTGATCTGTTAGAGACAAAATTTTTAAATATTTTGTTTAAGAATTGTGTTATTTTTTCTGCATTTTCAAGAATCAAAGTAAATTGTTTTATATTAAAACAGCTTAATGTCTTTTTTAATTAGTTGCATTGTGTGTGTTACATATTTATATTCTCTTGTTTATTTCTGATAACTTTCTGCAAACTTGGATAAACAAATTTTTTGTAAAATAAAATACACCATGATTTAATTTATTCTAGTTGTTTTATAATTATCTACAGTATGACAGTTTGTTTAAATATTTCTTCACTTTTGTTGTTTATGACAGAAGTGGAACATGAGCCCTCTTTGTAAGATCTTTATTCTTAGCATGCACATAGAAGTCTTGCATGGTTGGCTCCACCAACTTGTCAGTGGTCTTGTAAATTGGCTCACCATACCAAGTACCTACCTTCCAGCCCTCCACATTCTTCATAAGATCTGCCTCTTCATCCCTATTACGTCGCAACTGGCGCAAATATTCCCGATCGCGTTCTGCAATCAGGAGTGGCTGCAGGGCAAAACTGGCAGATCGTCGTTCGATCTCGTCCTTCTGCACTGATTTGCACGTTAAATAATAAACGTACGCAGCACCGGCAGTCATAGCAAAGTACCCCAGAATCATAGTCGTACCTGAAATAATCGTTTTTTAAAAACATCCATCGTAAATATTGCTGCATTTTAAAAGGTTATGTTATGTAATGGGAAAATGAATAATTTGTACAAACCGCTGAAGTAGGTCTTCGCTGGTACGCGTTTGTAGTTGATGGCCTTGTAGCCACCCTCCGGAGGCATATCTTGCCTCCTTGCGGTGGCATCCATGATTGCTGGTAGATTTATTCGAAAGAATCGGAATGAATAGTGTGGACAAGTATAGATCAGGTGGAGATGATAAAAATGTAGGTAAATATTGTACCAAATACACCAATGTATTTAGGGTTGCCTAGCATTAAAATACTCAAGATTTAAGTTTGTTGCATAGATTTGAAATAAATTAAAATTGTCTAGAACTATACATTTAATAGAACAAATTACATTTGCGTCCTTTTAACATATTTTATATAATTGTGCTTTATTTATAAATATTTTACGTCCTTATCTTCGTTAAAATTTGTTTTCCGGTGGAAGTGGAAGTGTCAAGGAAAATGTCACAAACATCTGTGTGTGAGTGCGAGTGGTAGTGAGGTCATTGACAAATAACTGATTTTAACACTAATTGCAACAAAACTACAAACAATTATCGCGGCGGAACAGCCTCTCAGCTTTACGCATTTGTTTCCCCAAGGATAGGACTTCACGATGAGCTTCCTTTTGTAAGTAGTCAAGGCCAGGGCCGGTCGAAAATTGTCCAAAAGTCACATGAGCTAAAAATAGTCCATATTAGTTCAGCACAGTGGCGATTTTATATCGCATTTATTGCGTTTACTCAATTACGCTGGTTTCAGTGGAAGCCGTTCGTCGAAAACTTTCAAACCAAAGAAGAACATTCCGGAGGGAACCCATCAGTATGAGTTGATGAAACATGCAGCTGCCACATTGGGGTCTGGCAATCTAAGACTAGCTGTGATGCTTCCTGAAGGAGAGGATCTTAATGAATGGGTGGCAGTAAACAGTAAGAAATGATCAATTTTTACATTTATTTAATCGATTTTAATATTCACAAATTCAAGCTGTGGATTTCTTCAACCAAATCAATATGCTCTATGGAACAATCACTGAGTTTTGCATTGAAGAGAGCTGCCCAATTATGTCGGCGGGTCCGAAATATGAGTATCATTGGGCAGATGGACATACGGTGAAGAAACCGATCAAGTGTTCAGCACCAAAGTATATTGATTATTTAATGACTTGGGTGCAGGATCAGTTGGATGATGAAACTTTGTTTCCATCAAAAATAGGTATGTATTACCATTCAGTGATGATTCATTCATTACAGTAGTGTTTGTGGTTATAGGAAGTCAGTGGTTTATATAAAAGTGTTATCACTGAATAATTTAGTTCAAATTTAAAAAACAATATGTGTTTTAGGTGTACCATTTCCAAAGAATTTTCTATCAATTGCCAAAACGATTCTGAAACGACTCTTTCGAGTCTACGCCCACATCTATCATCAACACTTTAGCGAAGTGGTTCAGCTTGGTGAAGAAGCACATTTGAACACATCATTCAAGCACTTCATATTTTTTGTTCAGGTACATTTAACTAGGATTGTGGATTGTTTATTTAACTCTATTGATGTTGCTATGACGTTTTAGGAATTTGTGTTAATCGAGAGACGCGAACTAGCACCTCTACAAGAATTAATCGAAAAGCTGACCGCCAAAGAGGCTCGATGAATCACCGCTTTGATCAGCCCGACAGTGATCTCCTGCTAAACAAATACACACAAACCAGCACGAAATCGAACAAAACAATGCGACAACAAACAATTAGAATGCAAATCAAATCGAACTCGCCGCGGCACGTGAAACCATACAATAACAAACAAATTAATTAATTAGAAATTAATCTAAAATTGGCAATAACACTGTAGTCGTGTTAAATTGCTAAAGAGACCGTTTGAGTGCTTGCAAACGAACGAAATACTTCCGTACTTGCGTTTAAAGTCCGCCCGCCGCCCCCGATTCGTGTCTAATTGATATGATGAATTAACTTAACGAGCTTTCTCTTATTAAGTAGGAGTTTAATCATAGCGTTTATATTTTAAGGACGAATTCTTCCCGTTTTCGAACTTAGTTACAATCATAACTATTGAGAATCTTTAGGGATTAAAGTATTAAACCTACAAACACTTATAATTATACAAAAAGCACCTAGTATTTACCAAGTTTTAGTATTTACGCCGCTTTTTGTCTTGATCAGAGTTCTCATTTCTTAATACTTCGAAAGGAAACTACTATAGTAATACCGTGATGTGATATACCCCTTGTTTTGTTTAGGCTTCTTTTGTTTTACGATATTTTAGGGCTTTGTTTTTTAAACATTTCTGTCTGCTATGCTCCTTATTATTAATGTGTATTTATTATATTGTTTAAATGTTGTAGGCACACATACTAGTAGACTGAACGATTGCGTGCGTTAATAGAGTTTAGTGACGAATACGAAGATATCAGACGTGATGAGTATAACGAAGTGTATTTTTACATGAACAATATTGTATTGATTAATAGGGTACGTGCATACATGCAATAGATAAACCATTTCATACTAGATACAAGATGAAATGATGCTTATTTTTGATATCATGACACGACACGACACTTCATCCAGCATTAGCATGAATTGTAATGCCGAATAATAATTGCACAATTGGTTTGTCTATGCATAACACATAATATTACAAACTACTACATATACTTATAAATTATGTTATGCGGTCGGCTTCTTAAAGAAACACCAAAGAAATTAAGTTACTGACTGCCGGAATATTGTTGATATGTACTGTAAGGTTGCATTGTGTTTTCGATTAGTATCGAAATGCTTAAAATCTTAAACTATTGTTCGTATATTCCACGTGGATTATCAATTAATAACTATTAACGATTGGTTGAATTGTAATTAGTTGTAGAGCTAACCAAGTTGCGCCGTTGGCTCGTGTTGTCTACTTCTAATTGTGCAATTTTTGTATATAAATAAACAATTCTTGATAACTTACCAAACAAACCAAGAGTCTCTGATAAAAAATAAACTTTGATTTCCAATGAGTTATGATCACTATTATTGTAAAACTCGTATTCGTTTGTTTTATCAGCTCTATTTTTGAATTTATGAGTGTCATCTACTGACAATTTTTAGTATCATAAAAGAGGTGCAACAAGATGGCCGCCTTGCGATTTCTACCAATTTCTACTTTGTAATACCAACGTAATCTTAGAAAAATTTCTCAACTAGTGTCGAAAATCAGAACTAAATATTTAAACTTTATCATAAAACAACTTTATATTGGTATTATATTACAGTAATTCCTTTTTATATTGGTCAGTTTTTAATAGGTGCTTTTAGTTTTTGTGATATTTGAACAGTTTTGTTTGAGATATAACGTTTTTTTGCGTAAAATAAAAGCGACGCTTGATGCGCTGACGCCATCGCGACCGATGCGCCACCTGCAAATATGAAGGAAGAAACAGGCGGTCGATCGACGCTTGTGAATAGCTGCGTCCGCACCGCCGGCGTTCATGTTTTGCGTTTAACACGTACGTTCGTGCGGTTCATAGAGATGGAGCTATAAATATTAAAAGTAGCCAGAGTATATGGAAAAAAGGTCAGTTAATTTGAATTAGATGTATTTGATTACAGCGGATGTTTTCTCAAATGCTTTACTCGATGCTGTAGCGCTTGGTCAAACAAAAATGGCCAGGCGCTGGTGTGTGTTAGATCTATTTATCAAAGCAAAGTCAATACAACCTATACATAATTTCCACTACCGCCAGTTTTACATACGTGTTGTTCAACAGTAAATTCATAGCTGGTTCATAATTTGATGATTTCTATGTTTGTCACTTGTTTTGTTTATAATCTCTATTTTTTAGGTTATATTATTGTTGCAACAATGGACACTACAAAACAAGCGCGCCTGGACAACTGGGCCATGTTTGTCATGTCGCGCCTGCAAGTCTTCTTTAACACTACTGACTACTGTGACCTCACTCTCCAATTTGAGGGTAATGTCCAACTGAAAGTACACAGAGTAATCATGAATGCCTGCACTGAGTACTTCAGGCTCTTAGAGCAAGAGTGTGACATGGATGGTGATGTTCTTATCATGCCCCCAGATCTGCAGGCAGATGTAATTCTTCCAATTGTGAATTTTATGTATACTGGTGTGTTAGAATACCAACACAGCATTTTTGAGCGCCTCTATCAGACTGCAGAATTGATGAATATGACAGTTCTGTTGAAGTTCCTAGATGCACAGAGGACCAAGGTGAAAATTTCTAGGACCCATCACCAACTGCAACAGCCCAAGAGAATGATAAAATCTGAAAAAACATCTCTCCCTCTACTTGGCCGGAAATTGCCCATCTGGAAGCGAAAAAATGCGCCAGTGCCCGTGCAAATTAATCCTGTAAAACCCTACTCACCAGAAACAAGGACCAGTATTTCCTCAGACAATTCGCGGTTTGATAACGCACCAAAACCAACACGATTTGAGTGGCCTGATGATGATATGCATGATATAAAACCGTTTGATCTGATGCCATTGGATAGCTCATTTGATAGCATAAGCTATTCTAGTAAACCACTCTTGACACAAGAGGAAGAAATGAGATCTACGTCTAACTCGACTGTTTTCGATGACTTGCGGCAACTTCCAGGTGGTAAGATAACGAAGAAAACAGCGGAGCCGAAAGAGAAAGAAGCCTACAATTCGAATTCTTCAGTTGACATGGAAGATTTGAAGAGTTATGTCAAAGAACAGAAGATACGCTCGGGATTGGCCGACTATGAGGAGGAAGATGATCCAGATGATCCCGATTATGTCGTGGAGAGCGTTGATAGAAAGAGAAAAACAGTGCTGTCTCCCGTAACAGCGAAGAAAGCAAAAGTTTCCAGCGAGAAAGAGAACATTGTCGAGGTACGCGCATCATCAACGAAAGTAGACCATTCAAAAATAATCAGCGAAGTTTTCAAAAAGTATCCACACCTTGTACAAAAGAACAAAAACATCCGGCTAAAAATCCTCGCTAAAAAAGGTGAAGACAAACCGGTAGAGAAAGAAAAACCTAAAATTAAAACGTTTGCCACAGCTGCAAATATTCAAACGAAAAAAATTATCAAACCTCTATCTTCACAAACCGACGCAGAATCTTCGAAAAAGAATCGCGCAGCTGAACAAACCTGGGAATGCACGACTTGTACGAACAACGGCGAACCCGTCGAGTTTGTTTTATATTATTTATATCGCAAGCATATGACCGACGCACATCATAAACAATTTGATGCACGTGAGTGCAAACACTGCGGTGAGATGTACGAATTACCAATGCAGATGACTTACCACATGTATATGGCGCACGCCGTTGTGCCGCCTAGGAGTGTCAACTTCCCCAAATGCACACGTTGCTCGTACGTCGCCTTTGATAAAGACATCATGTCCAAGCATTTGAATTTCCATTCAATGCATATTCATCATGCACAATGTGCCAATTGTAAATTAGGTTTTACAAACGGTCAAACTCTTAAGGCTCATATGCAGCTAGCTGGTCACAATAGTAAGAACAGTCTGAGTTTTGACTGCCAGTATTGCACACGACAATTGAATTCTGCGGCCGCGTTGTTTGTGCATTGCAAGACAACTCATGTTGATGACGCGAAAAGGGATGGCATGTTGAGTCTGGATGATGAACACCTAAAGACAGAATTGGAGGAGACTGAAAAACCTGCAGAAAAATTGTCTACGGAGCAAATTGAGGATGGAAATATTGACACGTCTTTAGGGCCGTTTGATATAGTTGTCTTGGATGATCAGCAACAGTTTATTCTACAAAGCGGTCAGGAAACTTCAACGGAGATTTCAAATCAACAGAATTATATGACATTGCCTACTCTCCAAGATCAGACGTATAATATTGGTCAAACTGATATTGGCTCTACTGATGAGTTGGTGATGGTTTTGACTGATCATGATTACAATGATGGAAATGATGATGTTAACAATGATAACTCGAATATTGTTGTGTTATACAGCCATCCAGTAGATGGACAGCAGAATCAGTATATTACTAGCCAGGGGAATATTATGTTGAATTCGGAGACGGGCATGTTGGAGATTCATAATGATGGCTTACCCATTTCTACGCAGGGTGAGAGCATAGAGATGATTCAGAAGGAAATACAAAGTCATTCGCTTGCGGCTATATCGAATGTTACAACTACAACGGAAGCGCAGAAAGTTACGACTGAAAGTGCAACGATGAGAGTACAGCCTGAGCATCAAATCCTGGAGGATAAGGATGTATCTGAGGATAACAGTGACAAAAAGGTCATTGCGGTTGAAGAGGAAGGCACTGGCAAGTTGATTAATACTATCGAGGAAATTGAGCCGGATACAACGGATTTTGGGGCGCAACACATCCCTGATGTTAATCAACCAGAGCCTGAACCTATGGATATTGATGATGACACTAAACCAACTAGCATTTTGGAAACACCACAAGAAATAATCACTCAAGAGCAACTTCCTGGAGTTGATGAATGTTCGGAATTGATCACAAGAACGACTGAATCTTCGCAAGAAACTACTCCTGCTCAACCGGAGGAAAGTTCGAAGGAAAAAATTATTTTGACCGAAGAGATCATTGAAAAAGAAGAGATACCTACGGTAGCTGAAGACGTGCCCACATCTTCTCTGACGTCAATTCAACCACCTGCCGAAACTGAAGTTCCCCAAGATTTGTTAGAACCTACAGAAATTTCAGCAAATGAAACCAATAAAACAACACAAGAGCAGCTTGCAGTGTCATCTGATGTTGATTTGTCTTTAGAGATAAGTGCTGATTCAGCAAACGAATTGTTGCAGCAGTCCACACAGAACGACGATGACGAATACACAACATCAGCATCTTTATCAGTTTCTGAACACTGTCCTGACGAACCAATGGAGGTCGATGGTTTAGTTTCAAGTGAAACCACAACACCAAAGGTAGATAAAGTATTGAAAACTGATGAAAAAGAAGTTGAAGAAACTGTACCTGCAACAACAGAAGCTGATATCGGTTTAACAGAAATTAACGGCGAGGAAGGTAAAGGTGTTGAAAAAAATGTAGAAACATCTGAAGACGTTGTCGATGGGCTCGAAAAAGATGATAATCATGAAGATACTACACTTGTTGAAGATATTCCTAAACCGACAGATGTACTTGACGCTTTGCCGAATTTGCCGAAAGAGGACTCAAGTAAAGAAGTAGAACAAGAAGCGGCAGAAGGTACCGATGTATTGATCGAAGGAAAATCAACATTGTCCACTGTATCGACTGTTGATGAGATCGGATCGATCCCGGAATCCATTGAAGAACCTCCGATTGACGATGACATTGAAACCGCACATCCGGCACAGGTTTTACCACAGGATCCAACCACGACTGATGAACTCTCGCTGAAAACACTTGATACACCCACGACGAAGGAAATCAAAGATAAAACTGCAGGAATTTCCACCTTGTTGAACGATTGGGAGGACACGGATTCGCAGACATCTGAACAGGGTAAGGGAACTACCGTAAACAAGCTGATTAACGATTGGGACGACGAGTAGTTGTCTTAAAATCAAAATTTGAAAAAATTAAAGTCTTTTTATATTACGATATAATGTGCGCTCCTCCTATTAATCTTGTGAATTTATTTGTTTCGACTGTGCAAACAATTGAGCATAAGATGTAATTAACTGATCAATTTTATTTGCAATCTTTATTTTCTTCAAATGCAAATGAAGACATTTTCTTGATATCGGTCGAACATTTTACTTAAGAAATTTATTATGCTTTGACTTTATATTACTGTTTTGATTAGATAACTAATTTTTACAATTTGGAAAATTGAACATAATTTATAGTTTGAATACTGATAAATTTGTAAATAGATCAACGCATTCACTCTTTTTACTTGATTTATTTTATGTGAACTAGATTTCTATATAAAGATAAAAATGTGGTATATGAAGAAATGTGCGAAACAATAGTTGTAATGGAAAAAATTGTAGTAAGGCAGAATATAAGTCTACAAAATATCCTTGTAGTAGTTCATTACTTAGAGTTGAAAACAATGGTATATAACAATTATACTCGCAGCGATTTTTCGAAAATCTATTTCATCTTGCAAGCGAAATATTGATATAGTTCTGCAAATCTAAGGATTTTTCCTTATGAAGGATTGAACCAAAAAATAAATTATGGCAATGATTACTGCTTAGGACTGATAATTATTAATAGTTACACTACAATTATGAAAAATAAAATTAATAGGTTTTGAAGAACTGTTGGTGGTAAAACTAATATTTTCCATGTTAAAAATATGGGTAGGAGGTTCTTTGCTATCGTTATTTTCTAGAGGATCTAGAAGATGGCTTTTGTCTATACTAGTGGCTGTAGAAGATGGGGAAGATGTATCGCGTTCAGTTGGAAACATTTGCGACGTAATTGTGCGCGCTATATTAGTTTTGCTGTCAATTGATTCTTCATCAATGAATTCTTCGTCTGTCGACGAAGACCGCTGGTCATCATGTATTTGAACTTGGGATGAATCTCCTCCATTATCTATTACTCTGGATGACCGTCGGAAGCAGTGGCCTGTGTACTGCTTTGCATCAGGCAAACCCAAAAACTCCGCTATTATTTTAGGTATGGATCCAAATTTATTTAATCCAACCACCTGCCTACAACATTTCCCCTTGTGATATTTAATAAAAAATGGGAGGTGTTCGGAGTTTGGTGGACGTAGCGCCATATATTTTTTTACAATCGGATAAAATCGTTCATTTATTACAAAAGTACTCTCTAATTCTGTTCTTGTGTTAGAGAGTATCACAATTAATCGACTACCCGTGTCCTCAATGTGGCTCATCAAAATATCTTTCATTTCTTGCTTTTGACTTGCACCACAAATACCAAAAACAAGTACCACTTTAGCTAGTAGAAAGTCATCATCAGAAGCTGTTGTCAGGAACTGATTGATGTTGTCTACGGTCAGGATTTTTGATTTCTTCCTCTTGTGACCTTCAATATTCTTTTTTAAAAATCTTCTCACCTCTTTGTATTTTGAAATGTCCACATTATCTTTAATAATTAAAGTGGATTTCAGCATGGAGTAACGAGACCAGAGTGATGTGGGCTGGATTGTTGCAGCCAGTTCAAGAAAATATTTTAAAATATCATTTTCGGAGAGTGATTTAACATTATTCTCATTTCTCCAAAGTGAAAATTTATGATACGCATCTTCATACCGCGCTTTAGATCTCAGTGGCAATGGGTTACTAAGTGAAAATTTTGCTTCCCTAACAAATGATGAACATTGAACATCGTCACTGCGATCAAAATGTACCATATTTTCCATGTTTCACTCAGCAATCTTGAGTTTGTTTGAGGTGCCGTTAGTAAAAAGCACAAAACTAACCATAAACTCATTGATCTGTATACAACGCTGGATTGCGGATGTGCTCAGCTCGAGCGGCCGATTTGAAGTCAAAATAACGAGGTTGGCGTGCGATAATTCCGGCCCCCGATTGGCTCAATGTTATTTGTCATTTAACCCTGGTCAAAATTATATGCATTTCCAGATACATAATTAACCAGGAACATAATTTATATTAATTATATATTTATATTAACTAATTATTAACTATTTTGTATATGTGAAGGGTTCTCGACTTGTAATAAAATGGTTACCTTATTTACTATTGCAATATCACTGACTCGAAGAACTCGACAAGTGTATAATTTATTCCTCTAATACCTGAACAATATAATTAGATAATGAAAAACGCAAGTAAAAAATATTGGATGACCTATGTGTTCAGTTTAGGACACTTAATTTTAGGCTATTGCTATACCACTCAGTATAATATACAGATCAGTGTAAAACTACAATGAGGTCGGGTAGACTCGTTTGTGAATGACATTTGCCGGAATTATTGGATCGAACAGTAGATTGAGCCACAGTTCGGAAATATAAATAGGGGATCTTCCGGCATATACAAATACTCCTATTACAATTTTATTTTATAATAATACCTATGTAACAACTAATAATCAACTAGATACATTTTCTTCCCATGGCCGTGGTCCTCTCACCTGTTCCCAATTGTCAATATCCATTGTCTTTAGTTTTTCATACTGCACTTCAATTGTGCTTTCTTTGGGATCATTCATGTCAATTCCTGCACTTTTTATATCTTCCCTCTTAACTAAGGATTTCTTCGAAAATGTGTACCTGTCACGAAATTATAGTTAGCTATTACAAATCAAATATAATGTTAAAATGATATCTACCTGAGTTGGGCAAATTCTTTAAGTCCAAATGAACCTCCAAGGACACAGATAAGGAAAGGTAAACCGTATTTCACCGACTTTCGTTTGAAAAAGGCTTTAACAGTTGTTGCGGACGAAGCCATTCTATAAAACTATTCCATACGTGTTTTATTTATACGTTGAATATATTTTTACTGCAGACGAGTTATCGGCGTTTCTTTATTTTAGGGTTATGTTTTGATGGATAGGGCGGTGTAGTGTCAATAGTAGTGAACTCTCAGGCTAACAAATAGAACTTGCAAGTGAATTTTGTTCATTTTATGGCTAAAATTATTACATAATGGCCCTGTCAGACGACATTAAGAGCAGTTTACAAATATTAAATAATTCGAATCTGATATCTGATCAAACTTACAAGAAATTGTTGGAAATTACATTCCTAGACCTTCTTTACACAAAAACAAGTGGTAAGGCTGATAATAATTTATAGATTACATATCTATCCAAAACTTATAATATATTTTATTTATTTTTTTAGATGTAAAGTCATTGTATGGAGCAAAGGCTGATGTTATCAAAGAGGTTCATGCAGCTATTCTAAAAACATTGCTGTTTTTAGCTCAAACTGATACTACAAAGGAAAAGGCCTATTTATTGCTTACAAAAGACTGTAAAATTGGAACAAACAGAAGTAAGCTATTAGCTGAAGCATATGACACACACAAATTGCATCTCTCTCTAAAATTGGGTAACATTGGATCTCATTTACCTCACATTGTTGATGTTGATTGGGAAATTGACTGTTTGATTAAAGTAGGTTCTTCAAAACATTTGCTGGCTTGATATTTATTGATTGATTGATTGTTTACAGTCAAGTGCTTTGGACTTATCACAAGGGCCACTGTTCAAAGTAAAGTTTATTACTGAAACTTTTGATGCTGAAAGTCAAATTAATAAATTGGAAGATTTTGTTTTTTGGTGTACTACTTTAGAAATGCAAGATTTGGTTTATAAGTTGGAGGATGCACTGCGACATTGCCAAAAAATAGGCACTAACCATTGATTTATTGCACTTGCTTTAATTCTTATACCTATATATAAACATACTTTAATCTGGTTAATAAAATTGATCACATTTTTATCCTATGTTTAGCTTTTTAAAATGAATCAGTTTTTTGTGTTTGTTATGGAACTGCATGAGTGCGTTCTTGTCATAATGCTATTTTTATTTAATTTGACTGCTTTCGGGTAAGAATTGAAAGGGCATTGACCAATATAGAAAACTGTTATTATCTTTTTTAAATTTTTCGAAACTATAAAAATCTCAAATTAAGCATTTCCGTGGCGCTCTCAGGAACTACTCATATATTACTCAGTAGTACTGAGTCAGTACCATTGCCAGGTTGCTTCACGTGTGTTTCTTTGTATTTACAAGGTGACTTAAGTTCTTCTAAGGAGGACTATGTTTATTCGGCTGGAATTCTACGAAATGTAAATGTGTTTTGTTCTTTCTTTATGTTTGATACGTTGCGAAATATTAGTAAACAAGGTGTTTGTTTATTCACCTGCGAGTAGAAGCGTGGTGCTCGCGACTTTTCTCAATTGGTAAGACTTTTTTTTATTATACACTCAATATCGGTCTCTCTCAAACAAGAATTTTTATTTAAGTACTAGCGGACCCGACAGACTTCGTTCTGTCAGATTAGGAATGTGACTGTTTCTTGTTCTAGTGCTTTGTGATATACGATGTTTTTTGTTTGATTACCTGGTTCATAGACAAACAAATTTGATGCTTTTCTAACACGGGAACAGGCAACATACAATTGACGATGTAAAAAACATGGGTTTTCTAGATTTATATCTATATTTATGTGGATGAGGTATGCAGTGAACAAAACTCTTGCTGATTTTACGATTTATTTACCGTGTAACCTGCACAAAAGCTCAAGAGCGAATGAATAACAAAGCTGAAGCAAATGAAGGTCTTGGGGATATTCCTGCTAACGTTGCAAGAATGATGCAGCTGCAGTCTGGAGTGAACTTAGAGAACAACGCATATAATTGCAGCTGTCCCCTGGCAGGTGTTTTGCCTAATGCATGTGATAACACTTCGACGTGTTTTCGATACGTTTGTCGTATTTGGCTTGAACAACTCGGTAGAAAACTCAGCTTTTCCACATTTTCCCGGCAATTATTCGATTTTTTCTCGCCGTCAAAACCACTCTTTGACTTTAACGAACATTAAAAAAAAAAGAATTGGCCAAATTGGTCCAGGCGTTGTTGAGGAAAGCGGTTACCAACACTTTTTGCGATTCATTTTTATAGTATAGATAATCGAAATTCAAAAATTGTATACAGATGAGGATAATTTTATTTATTGTGATCCCCTAGCAAAACACAATCTCGCGATGTTGACTTATGCTTCCCGTCGCTTCGACCGGTTTAGTGTATAAACAATTTTGCCAAATTTGCGGCGTTGACATCGAGTTTGTCTAGGGCATTGGGTGATGTAATAGACGGCCAGAGTTAAACTTAACTCCCATGTATTTAAAAACATGCATTTTCCAATAGTGTGCGAAGTCGTTTGTAATTTTAAAATTCAAAAGTTCAAAAACGAAAACTAAAACATGGAATGGGAAAATCAAGTTGCTAATCTTTGTTAGAAACTGTAATCCGGGACTAAAATGCGGTTTAGCGCACATGATACTTAACATACGATTTTAATAGTATCCCTTCAGGCAACAGTCGTCGTCTTACTTATTATCATGCATTCCTGCGATCACCAAAGTTAAGCAACATATATACTTTTCCTACTTCCACTTTTAAAGCACGAGTTTTCCACGATTTTGAAACTCTTTAAACCCAGATGGCAAAGGCTGTGAGTAACGTACTTTAGCATAGAACAAAGCAGGCTGCTGCTGCTGCTGCTATATTGATGCTGCATTGCATAACTACTACTCTGGAATTTGCAAAGACGGTGAGACCGTCTTGAATCAGGTCTACTGGGTGTACCTTACAGTTGTTCTGAGCACCCATATCCGCAAAAACTCCTCTGCATGATCCTACTACATGTTACTTCCGGCGTTCGAAAACATGAGATTGAAATCATTTTTGTGGCATTAAGAAAATTCGAATTTCTAAATTCTGATTTCCGATCGAAACTAACCACAATAACTTATTATAATAGATCAATAGGGGCCCTGCAAAATAACTTCCTATTTCTTAACAATTACAACACAATTATTTATTAAAATTACGGATTAAAATAACTGTGGTTATTTATGACGTTGCGCTTGTATGGAAGAACTTACCAACTATTATACGAGAAGCAAAATCATCAACTGAAAAAATACCAGTTTCTGACTGTAATATCAGGCTTTCACAATTTGAGGACAAGAGTATCTTAAATATACTCTTGGAACATTTTCTGAGAAATGAAACAACAGGCAAATTATTTATCTATTTTTTATTCAATATTAATGAATAGATCTCATTTCAAAGAGCAATTAATGTAGCATTAATGTATTACAATATACAATGGGAGGTTTTCGTCTCTACACTATGTAAAACCATTAATGATTCGCACATCAATGGCAATTAGTCAGTAAGAATATTCTTAGTTATTGTAACGTATTTACAAACCGTGAACAAGTCATTAATTATAGAGTAGTACTGTTAACGCAATTATTTTTGTAAAAGGAAAATGACAAACATTAGAGTTGATGTAGAAATGTATGTAATAACTTAAAATAAAATTAAACTCGTTTGGGATAATTCAAATTACAGTATTAGAATCACGCGTTACTTTCTATATATATGAAACTAGTTTATCTAAAAAAGAAACTAACACGTGTTTCAAAGCATATATGATAAGTATACGTTTACAATAAATATTTTATCATAACTGAATGGCAAATAAAGTGAATTAATCAAATATAAACTAATTCACTACAATGAATTGATTGCTTCATAGAAGCAATTCGATTTAAGCTGCCCTTTTTACATTTTTAGTATAATTTTGATCTAAAACATAAAGTTGTACAAAAGTAAAAACTTAAAATCTAACTCAATCAATGGCTAAACGACACATATTACAAACATGATTAAATTACGAATTATCCGCAAGTGATCAAGATATGTATTCTATGTTTACAGATGTTTAGAATAAAATAAGTTTCGGTTTAAACATATTAAAAACAAACTCAACGAAATGGAACTCAGTTTTGCGCCTTACAATTCGGTTTACTCTTCGTTTATAAATAACTATACATAGGTATTTACAAGATAAATGTAGTTTTTAACGAAATTAACGTTAGCTTATCCACTATAGAAAGAAGATACGTCAAAACGTTTAAGATATTCCGACATTTCGTGAAGTTTAAGTTAACATGACGTGAAATGAGACTCGCTAGAATTTCCATTCGCACTTTGAAGGTATTTGAGTGATTGGATGATTGTCTGATGAGACTCTATGAAATTCGCAACCGGCTGCCATTACGCTGGCGCAGCACAAAAAAAAACAACAATCAAACATATACCTCAAAGCATAACAAGTTTGGCAACTTCCAACGTTCAACAATCACGCTGATTTCCAGCCTTCAGCGTTATGGCAGGCGGTTAATGTCAGAGTGTTTCGTGTGAGTAATCCGCATGAAAAACTGTATATACACAATCAATAAATTAATTCAAGTACAATACCAAATGATTTGCTTAGATCTACGTTATGTTAAATTTTAAGAGGTGTGTGAAAGGGACCAAGACATTGCAAGCGGAAAGTATTGCTTTTCATACGCGCTAAAATTCTTTATATATTTTTATGTTTTTATTATAGCATGATTCATCATGCCGACGAAACAAGCCCAAACAAGCATTGAATTGGTTTCGTCGTACGTAAATCATTATCATTATCTTTTTGCAATGCAAATATAATTAATAACCATTTCCATTATTTTGGTCCAATGTAATTTTTATTAGTTTTTCCTTTGTTTCCTTGTTTATTTTGCTCATGTTTGAATATATCTATCGTTAATATCCACCAATTCATTTAAATTTAACATCATTTTTCTTTTTGTACAAAAATCAAACTTATGATTGTTTCGCGTCTCAAAACAAGTCTGCAACAAAATGAAATCAAACACGTTTATCATCTCACATCATTACGACACATGTATATCACAGACCTACAATTTAATTATTTTATATTTTTCATGTTTATATGAATAGGTATTTTGTGTTATATATCGTTTATAAGTCGATTATTCATTTATATATCTTGTAATATGTTATGTTTAAATCTAGGTTTTATCCTCTTCCTTTGTTTATTGTTTAAAAATAACCGCTTTTCGCATAAAACATGTGTCGTTCCACAAAATTACATCCGCTTTCTTAAATTCTCGTAGCGAGATGTTTTGTTGGTATGGTTCGTGATCATTGATGTTTATTTATCTTATCAATTATCTTAAAAGTTAATTATAACATAACAGGAAACGTAAAACTACATGTATTTCAGTCAATTGTTTCGCGACCAATTCACAATTCGACAAATTTCTAACAGTCCCACCCGGTGCTTTCGTCACTCGACGTAAACGTTACAATTTATTAATGTTCCAAAGTGCATGCATCCGCCCATTTCCGGTTTTGCACCGAATATCATCCTCTTAGTTTCCCAATCGCTGAACACGTTCAGTTCGTTTTTCAATATTCACTATGATTTGACAAATATTCAATGTTCCAAAATGTCGAGTGTTTCGTTTTACGTTGTGGATGGGAAGATACACTATTTACACGAATAGCACACGCGTCCAGTAGATCGGTATTCCTAGGTATGTCAATGCGAGCGGACCATGTCTAATAAGCTATCAGACTACAGGCCGTATGATATCATTTGGGTGGCTGTTCTGGTTGCTGTCGTTGTGTCTTGACGCACATTGCTGTAATCATAATAAATATGAGACTCATAAATAAATGTCCAACTACATAAACTTTGTGTTCACTTACCGCTTGCTTTCTTTCCCAGGTCTTCATAGCACTCTTGTACTTCTCAAACTCGTGGCACCAATCTGAGTAAATCTTCTGATAGTCGTTGCTCTTTGCGGGCGGCGAGCAGCGGTGGGCATCTACAGTTACGTTGTACGAACAAAGCAGAGATGCCCCCATCCAACAGTCGTATCGGCCAGCATCTGCTTCTGTCACGGCAATGATCACCAAACCATGCTCGGAAGTTTCGATATATTTATCTGGCCTGAATACAATCTTATAGCGTCCTTTCTCCTTGGAATAGTGATACCATGTAATTGTTTGCGAAGCAAGTACAGCGGGCATTTTCAGGAAACACCCGAGATGAAGACTTTGGCCCCAGGTAACGACCATTTTCTTTTTCACCACGCTACTATCGCAAACGTCGATTGTGCTATTGGAAACATCTTGCAGCAAACTAAAAACCACAAAAAAATAAAACTACTATATATGTTAAAAATATAAAATATTTACCCGGGCGAATAAGGTTTGCAAACATTATTGTCCTTGTCCCATCCACAATAGGGATCATGTACACATCTAAGGCAGTTGTCATACCGCCTATTACACATCACTAAATCAATCTGTTTGACGCGAAAATCACTCGCGACGTATAAAGCTTTGTGCTCCTTAGAGATTTCCATCACTTGAATTGGCTCACCAGGCGTAACGTCAAACACGTCAAGGAGAATCGACGAAGTTTCTTCCTCCTTGGTCCACTGTACGATTTTATGTACGCGACCGTCATCTGCAAATTAAATGGTCATCAGTGGATGTTTATTAAGCATGGGTGATAATGAGGCACTTACTGGTTCCGGCATAGAAAACAGTATAGTCCAGGACGGCGCCCCCAATATCGACCTTAATTTTGTCCACCACTAATCTGGTAAAGAACAAATCCCTCTTGAAGAAGACTGGTTTCTCATGTTCGTGCATGACTGCGGAGTCCATTAGCGGATGTGACCTGATGAAATTCAGAACAGCGTCAGGCAACGTTTCCGTATCGTTGACACAGGTCCCAGGACGTGGTTCAGGCACCTTGCTCGATAAGACCGGCAGCCATGCGGACGACGAGGTCGCCTGCTCCTTGAACTTGCCGTTGAACGCTACTTGAATGTCGTCCAGCGTAAAGGAGCAGATGGCGGAGCCCATCAGTCCGTTTGTGGAGGTGGTGAAAGTACCGTAGAACTTGTTATCGTCGCCGGGCACTTTGTAGATGGATTCTAGTAAACCAACCGGAATCATTAGATTAGATCAAAACAGGGTTGATACGCACATCGAATAAGATTTAATTAACCACTCGAAACTCAATATGCGTTCCGACTTGAATATCATTGAATAGTGCAACTTACGAATTTCATTGAAATAGAACGGGAACTCTCCGGGAATCGAGCAGTTGAGTCTCGCCTTCAAGTACGTCGCCCAATTTTGCGAAAGGATGTTCTTGCCGCCAGTATCCTTCTTGCAGACGCGTGCCACACGGGAGTAGACGCTCTTACCGCAGTTAATGTACTCCACGGCGGTCTCACGGAAGAAGAAGAAGACATACTCGCCGATTTCGAAAGAACCAACAAAGTTCGGTTCTGCAAAGAGAGAAGAATACAGGATTGTACAAAATTGATTGACCCCCCATGCATCAAAACGCCACAATGCGAAAGATTGATAAGATTGGCTGAAACGTAATCGAAAAAGTGATTTTCTTCTCGCTGCAGATGTAATCTTTAAAAATCCGATCGGCATGTCGAGAGCTCATAGTTCGCATTTCAAACGGGCGCGCAGAACGAAACGACTAAGCCCAATCCAATTACCTCTAATCTGCGTTTATTTCAGGAGAGAATAATTAAATCCCGCTACTACTGTAAATCCTCTTCAAAGTACACCGATTGTTGCCGAAAATAAATTCACACAAATTGTAATTCAGCATATTCGCATCCATGGAAACCGGGCACAACCCAAAACTCGTCCAGGCACCCTATGTGCCTCATGTAATAGGTAACAAGATATTCAAAGGTGTTTCCGACATATTCCGGAAACGCATTGCCACGGCACTGCTAGATGCACTGATTGTCGCTTGTGAGACCCGAAACATGAAAATTGAAAGGGGACGCTCGCGAGTTTCCATCGCGGAGCGACGAAGAATATTGATTGATGAGACAAGACTCAACCCGAGATAAGTGTCTTTGATGGCGGGTCGTCTTCACTGATTTCATGCACTTTACCCCACATCAAAAGCATTAGAGCTGAGTAAAACTAACATTAATTTTGATCACAAAAGAAGCCAGAAAAGCAGGAAAATTTTTACTTTCTCACTGGAGTAAAACCATTTGGGAGCATAGTCTAGAGTCGAAAATGGGCAAGACAAAAAGTGTGAGGAAAACGAAAAAGTGAGCTGCAAGCGAGCTTGAATCGAAAAAGAACTCCCCGTTTTAATTATCGTGCCGTCGATGTGGCTGCGCGAGGTGCTTTTGTCTGGCGGAAAGCCGAGCGGCGGCTGGCAAAGCACAACTAGAACTCTCAATGGGAATAGGGAATAGATCTCTCGCGTTTCTCGCTAGCCTCTCTAGCCGACAGGACGATGTGGAAATGTGGAAATTACTGTTGTGTAGTTATAGCACTTTCACGAATCGAATTCCCTCGCCTTTCTCGACTTTTTCCCAGCTTTGCTAATAAACACCGTCGGTGGTACACTAATCTAAAAAGAGATTAGAGAGAGTGAGCGCGGGAAGAAAAGAAATTCGTCGTCGTCGTCGAATTTCCCAACTCGAATTACAGTCTTCACACAAGAGTATCGTGCGAAAAAAATCCGCCGGCCAAAACATTCGAAATGTACATTTCCTCTTGATGCACATTTTCGAATGATAAACTTGGTGGTACGAATGTTTGCAGTGTTTGCCGCGGTGGAAACGGCGCCCGCTTATTGCGATAAATTAGATGTAGTTAGGTACTGCTTTATGGTAAATGGCGCGGAATTAATTCGGTAACTTCGCCAGTATGCCGCGCGGTAAAATAGTTTTCCTCCGCCGGCACCATCAGCGCTCTGCGCCGAGAGGGGAGAAAGTGAGGTGAGGTTGGCGGCTCGCAAACTTTTCGTTTGTGTTAGGCGCGCGCGTGTTTACGCTGAACAAACTCCAAAACAATCCAAACAAAGCGCAGACACTTTCCGAACTGCCTGAATCAACGGAAATTCATTCGGCATTCCATGCACTACAACGGGACTGAAAAATGTCACTTACTGTCGAGCCATTTCGAGTCGTATTTGAGTGTGCGCTTGAAGGTGAACTCCTTTCGTCCAGTGGTCAGGTTGTAGAGGTCCGTACGGAAGATGACCGTGTCGGCCTTGGTGAATTCAGCGTTGGTACCGGAATAAAGACCGGCTTGATCGCCTGGATTGCCATGCTCCACCCAGACGGCAGTAGTGTTGTCAGCGGGGTCGTAGGGACATTTTGCAATGCCCGCCCCAATACCAGGGACGAAGATTTGACGATTTAGATGTGTCAAATTAGACTGCAAATAACAACACAATATTAACATTTATGAAGCATTTTGGGTTTAAAAATTTAATATTTCGGCGTTATCGCTCACAGACGTGCACAGTGCACCTATATACCTCCACCCCAAGATAGGAGACATAATAACCTCCCCTAAAACCGCAGTCAATGATACTCTCAACTCGAGCTTGTGTGCCGGAAGCGAATTGCGGAATAAATAAGTGAAACACGGGTGAAAGTAAGGTGGTGGTGCGAGTGCCGAATGCGATAAGGATAAGAACCACAGAAACACCCTCCACCATCAAATAGTTGCTACATTTATGAGTTGATGTTGCTATTTAGTGCAAATTTTATAATTAAATACTACCGTATAAACTTATACTAGTCTGAAAGAATATTTTACTAACTTGTCTGATAATAAAGTATTTCTAATTAAATGTCTGCATGTACATAACAAAAGATCAGGTTTGACTGCATTTGCTAGGCATTTTAATAACGGCTTAATGCTGTTTATATTTTTGCCCACCCCGCTACGTTCGAGTTTCTTTGTGCCGAGCATATTTTAATATCTCAACAGTTCACCTTGCAATTTGCAGAAGCGTTTAGCAATTGCATCGTTCACCAACATGGAAAATTGTTTGCCGTGCGTACGTTCGCATGATTGTGATTGTAAGCGCGATTGCAATTCACATGGTGAGTAATTTTTATTTCGCGTTCGTTTAAACAACGAACCAAGCACTTCAAACGCAGCCTGCAACAACTTTCCGTGCGAACTGGGCTTTGCGTTCCGTCCGTTTACCCTTCGCCGGTAGCAGGCATAAGCAGGTAGGTAGTTGAGAAATTGCGCATCGTAATTTCTGCACTCTTAAATAATTTATATGCTCATAAGTGCAGCTTGTGGAGCGGCGGACAGCTGATGATGTTCTCGTGTTAATTGAGCGAGAACTAACAAAGCAAACAAACCCGAGGCTACTTCAGTATTACATCATTCCAATGTCTGTAATTATATAGAAATCGTCTGTTTGTTATGTTCGTTTTCGCCATTTCCTCAGCGATTTGCAAAGCTTCACATTTACAAGTCAAACAATTGCTTAGTTTTGATATAGTGCTACTCGACACAAAGCTTTCATCATGTTTTTCCATGATGAGATTGAGATTGAATATTAAACATGAACATTATTTGACTATTTAAGTAGACGAGTCGTTTGATCAAACTTTTACTATTTGCATGTCATCACAACTGTGGACAAACTTGGCGGTTTTGTGGTTGAAAAGATGTTTACTTACGTAAATGACCCAGTCCTTCGGGTTGTGTGCATTCGTGCCGCAAATGTAAAGTCGCTCGCCGTTTCCCATCGACTGAATGACTCGGATGTGATTTCGACAATCGAAGTGCTGCAACAAGATATACATTAATATTAGAACGTGTTGCAAACATTTTGTTATATATTTGCGGCTAAATAAAGTTAAGAGATGTTTCCAAGAGTAGCTCCATTGGGAATCAACTTTTGTGATCGTCGAAAAAGAAGATTTAAGTATAGAAGATTGGTTTGATGGGTTGGCACCTTTGCAGCCCTCGAGGGAAACGATTGTACACCGTTCTGATACTTGTTCGCTTCGATTCATCGCACGAAATGATCACGAATGCCCTCCGGCCATAACCGACTCTGCACCATGTCTTCATCTCCTCAAACAAGATGTTTTATTCCGGACAAGAAATAAAGAAGGTTCAATTTTCCGCGCCAGTCTTCGGGCGACTACTTTAAAGTTTTATGGACTTTACTCCTGAATGCAATTTACACTGTGGTCCGACTGGGCAATATTGGATTTGCACATTTTCACACACCACCACTCAATGGGTAGACATGAGCTTAGAGGACGATGGACGAGCGCGCCATGCGAATATGGATAAGTCGGGGACGAATGGCCGGAATAAAACCGTAAAATATACGAGGAATATTTAAGTCCGGCGAAATCCGATTATTTTCCAGAGAAAACGAGGTTGAGTAGTCCCACCACACGAAAGTGCAAAGCAAAAAAAACCTCGCAGTAACATTACGCGCAAAAAGAAAAACAAAACGAAGGAAAAACAACGATAAATCCATTTACCGAGTACGACGCATAAAAAGTTTCGTGCTGGCAGACTTATAGTAGGACTTGTCGTTCATACATCATCATGAAACATAATTTTATCGACGGCTTACAAAACATTTGTTTCTCCAATCGTATGACTAGTTTTATCCAGTTTTATCTTTTGTCAAAATAATTGAAATCAAAAAAATACGGCTGGCTAAAATTAGGTGCAGAAGATGCTTCGAGTTGTACAAACTTCCAATGCGATTTGTTATCTGTGCGAATTTTTTGACCCGACAGCGAAACACGAAGCAGAAGCACGCATAGAAGAACATCAGAAGAAAAGCGACCATAAATTCACTTATATTGGACAGATACAACCTTTCGAATAAAGTTTATGTTGTTCGAAGCCGGACGCGAAACGGCGTTCGTAATTTCATTGCGATAAACTTTTAACTTTAACAGAATAATAGAAAATAATAAAGTACGGCACTTTTGTTTGCTGCTGGTCACTTTTCGACGCTACACCACTCTATTGACTTGGTATAACCAGCAAGAGTGTCCCAAGCATTGTTGGACACATTAAAGCGTATTTGTAAAATTTCGAAATTTCCTACTCGTATTTTTAACAGAAAATGTTTTGATACGTCCGTTGGGATGGCATGAAATGACACCGTACGGGTGTGTTAATCAAACATTTTATTAATGGCTCATCCGTCTGCATTTTCGCGCCCTGGCAAACTAAGAGCGCTAGCCGAAGTGGAAAGCGACACGACAGGGTGCATCAATTTTAATTAGCCTCTTGTTGTTTTTATGCATGCGCAGCGACATTTTTTTTTCTCACATGCAAAACTTTACGGAATTTTTAATTATCGCGATCATTTCCGGTAAGCTTGTATCGAAAAATGTTGCTGCTATGTTGGCATTGTTCAATTTTTCATGCATCGGAATTCAGTCAGCTTCGGGCATAAAAAGTACACATTCCAAATGCGAATCGAGAATTCAAAATGCAAAAATGAAAATGTGAACGTGAACGCAAACAGCGCACGCTGATAATAAATTATTGCCGATGCACGCAACACGCAGGTAGTTTTTCCTAGGTCGCTGCCGAATTCGCGCAACGACCGGAAACACGTATTGTTCGCGCTATTTTTCTCCCTGTAAAACGGATGTGCAATGTGGGCGATGGTGCGATCGAAATTTGTGCGCGCCTCGGCGACGATGATTACGGCTAATGACGCCGTGCCGTTTCAATTTTTAAATCACTCGGTCCGCGCGGATTTCACAATTAAAATGCAAATGAGCGAGCGGTGGCCGTAAAAAGACGCATCGAAAAATTCACCTATCAGTTATGACGTTATCGCGCTCGCTTGTCAATGCGGTGCTCGCAATTACGCGCGCGCCCGGCTGTTTTAATGCCCACGTTTAATTTATTACGATGCCTCCCAAAACGCGCCAATAAATTCCACTAATAAATTCCAAAAACAACAAAAAACTACCGTTTTACGTTTTTATTGTGTGTGCCATGGAAAGTTATTCAAGTTTACGTTCGGTTAGTCGTATAAAAATGCTCGTATAACGCGTCTCGCCCCTTTTTTGGCAAAAGAACCGGCCGGGAATAGTTGCTGCCAGGGTGGAATCATCCCCCTTGACGACGCACGCTACTTACTAGCTACAGCCGCCGCTGCCGCTTCACCCTGAATGAGAGTAACCTCGAGTAGTAAGCGCGAAATGAGGATGTTATGCTCACCCAGCACACAGCACAGGTGCAGCTGTTCCCAAGTGCCAGCTAAACCAGATTTATGCGCCTAAAATTAAACGTTACGAACCGTTTAATGCGCGAAATTGCCGCCGCCCGGCGCATAATCATCCTTTCTGATTGGTTCGGATCAATTGTGCGTGTAATCAAAACAGAAAATGATACGAATAATACAATTTCACGCGAACTTGCCGCAGTCCCACAGATCCTCGAACTTCTAACGACATCTAGCGGTTAATAGCTTTCGGAAATGACGTTTACAAAGGTAATTTTCTTAACGTTGATTCTTAAAAGCGTTCAGTGCACTAATGGTAACTTCAGTTCTGCATAAAGCTTTGAAAATTGACAAGAAAATAAAAAATATATTTAAAAGCCTTTGAGGGAAAATCGTCCATGGCTTTGATCGACACCCTCCAGAATCGGTAAGTAACCTATATTAGAAAAATAAATATACGTCCTCCCCAAAACGCGCAAATTGCAAGGCAGTGAAAATTTTGATGGAGGCGGGAAAACGTTTTAACTGAAGCGCGTCTTTAGCTTTTACCGAAAATGCCGAGAGGGGCGCTAAAAAAAGCCTGATGATGCGAATCTGCGCCTTGGAGAATTAATTCTGATTGGCGAAATAAACGTAAAAAGGCTAGAGGATCAGACAGCGCGGCAACGAAAATAAAATAAATGTTATAGTAGCAAGCGATTATGGAAGCCGGCAGTAAAAGAGGCAAGGACACATCTCATAATCATACGCTTCAGTTGAAGTAGTATCACAGATGTAGCAGCAAAACCAAGACCTCCTAGAGATGTAAAAATGGCGTTGATGAAAGAGGACGAAGCAGGACGGAACAAAATGCTGCTAGATGTGAAGGACGAGAGGAATGCGCATAAACTCACGAACGCAGAGCTGCTTTTCCATTCGTGTACGACGATTCGCACTCGTTCGAACCAGGACGAGGACGAAAGGTCGAAAAGTACTAACAGTCTAAGCGCGTCCCAGAACGAAGAAGGTTTTTATCACTTTCGGGAATTGCACGCCGGCTTCGAATGTTTTACGTGTATGTTTGCCACCCCTTGCTTTGTGTCTTGTCCATCAAGCAACTTTCCCTTTCTTTACTTCTCTAGTTCTTAAGGTGCAAATAAAAATCTCCACATAAAATCCAATATGGCCAGAACAAAACAAAAACCCCACAACTAAGTATATTCGAGCTGTGGCAACATTATGGGAGGAAAAGTAGGAGCATGAACTGAGAGCATCATTTGTGTTTCATTTGTGCGGCGCATCGTTTATCATACGTAATTAAAACGTAATATCCGAAACGAGTCGCTTTCACAATTAGTTAAAGTACCCGTCGAGAAGTTTAGTAGTTCGGGAATGCAGTGGCAAGCAAATTGCCCTAATTGGAAAAACGTTCAACCAGGGGGAGGCGGGTTACTCGGTGGTAGTGAATCTCCACAGAGCAACTCTCATATTCCTACTCAATTTCAGAACTCCAGTTACATTTCATATCGGCAGTATGCGGAGTACGAATTAATGACTCGTTTCCCTTTCATCTTAATCATTATTTATGGCTGGACATGTGTAGGCTACGAAATGTTGATTCGATAAAACCTAACAGCTAATTGGAATTCACTTTCATCTCGCTTAAATGCTTGCGTAATTATGTACCGATATAAAAAATCCCCTAAATTAAATTTAAATAAACAAAATATGTGCTTAAATATGAAAAATACCCCACATTGCATATATTTGTATCCCAGTGATGGTAACAATAAATAATTTCGAATTTTCCGCCCCCGGCGTAAGCGAATTGTCTGTATGGCGTCGAGTCTGATCTAATTTAATCTCGAAGCTCGTCGCGCCGCGCCAGAATTTGTCGGGGCGCACGAAAAGTTATCCAGTTATCCAGTCGTTCGTATAAATTCGCGCCATGTAACGTGACAGTTTTACATACGGCCTGCTTTATATTCCATATAACTTTATACCACGCGAGCGGTCGCGGGAGCAACACATCGAAGACTGGCGAAAGCTTCGTAGAAATCTGTTTAAGTGCACGCGACGTCGAAGATGCCAAGAATTCAATTCACTCGTAGGATCGAATCGCGATTTTTACCAGTTTCGATGTGAATGAACGTTGAAAGTAAGTTGTTAAGTGGCCACGACAAAAATTGCACTAGAAAGTTACTTAAGACTATTTTTCAATCGATACGTAGCGTTAATATAATGTTTGATAACACAAGTATTATGATAACGTCTCATAGATTTGTGTGTTTTGTTTACGAAGCGATAATCACATAACCGGTGATATATTATCCGCTGGAGTGGAGTGTATATAATATGGAAATTTATAAGTTGCCGAATCGTGGCGTTTAGGCACGCATTAATAAACGTCAAGTGAAGAAATTTAACACCCTTACCGCGGTGGCCACTTGGTGCCGTTTTCGGGCACTTACCGTTCTCATGCTGTGTTTGTGCTCATGTTCTCCGCTCGAAATTCGACGGCCACGAAATCGCGCCGCGTGCATGCATACCTGTGTTACGGGAGTTGTACGCGCGGTGTAACGCGGCATGATTGATAAACAAACGATGTCGACCGGAAAATGTGTAAGTCGCCGTGGCCGGCGGTCGCGACGAATTATTTTATGATTTAGAATAACGACCCGATGGCGTGACGCCGTGTAACCAAACCACCCTCGTGCGCAAGGGATAAAATCGACTGCAAACGCGCGACAATGGAAATATACGACATGGCTTTATGTCTTTACGATGCGCGCTAAAGCTTAAATTTCAATCTCTGAAATAATACACACAAACACATATAAACTTCTCCATCAATTGTTTCTAAGGTTTAGATTTAAACTTTCATGATGTAGAATTAGCTAGTTTGTGTGGTCTGGGCATTTTGAGTCTTTTTTTTATAGTATGAATAGTATCGATGTCACGATGCCGGTAAAAATTATTTTCCCATTTATATTTCACCGCCGGGCGCATTCGCCAACAGAGGGTCGCTCATAATGATGTTAAAAATGCTCTTTGCATTATTCATTGCGCAAACATGCATTGAGCACCAACACACTATGCACGTATTATTCGTCGCGTTTAGTTTTACATCGATTTGCATGAAAACCAACCGAGCAAAAAAAAAAACACAACAAAAACATAAATGGACATGTCTGACATCTAGTTGTATTGCATGAAAGGTCATTACCACTTTTTTGCAAGTTTTCCACGCTAGTATTTTGAAGCATTTTATAAATATTTCGAAATTTTTATTTAGAAAATTAATTAAACGTCAATGTTATGCTAAACGCAGCTACTCGAACGTGATAGGTCAATATGTAAAACACAAAAGGGGAAATGAAAGTTATGCCCAAGTGGTCGTCGTCTGCCAATTGTCGGCCCTCACGGTCGTCAAATTTTCGTGCATTTAATGAAAACCTAATTTGCATATTAGCCCTTTGCGTTCCACTTCGGTGTAAAATTGAGATAGCGAGGTATTATTTTATTTGCTAATTGAAAATCTCAAAGATCCGAGGCAAAAAGAGCAAGCAAGGCACCACCGAGTGGTTTTTCGGCGGCAATTTAAAATCAACCCCCGAAATTGAAATTAATTTCGATGCCGTTGTGCTTCCACTCAAAGACACGCTGAGGAGAAGCATTTGAAATTCAAATTTTAAGTACCGGCAGACGACTGGCAATCACTAAACATAAATTAATTTATTTCCCAAATTGAAGAGCAAAAAAACAACGCATCGGTGACCAATTTTAAGCGCGAATAAACCGTCTGTATTTTCGCGCGAAATTGAGTCGATTATTTATATTTGTACTTCCGTTTAATTGAAATCCAATGTTTCGTTTTGTTGTTTTTCGCGCGCTGCGAATGGAAACTAGCATACGCGATGCAAGCGTCGAAAATCTATCAAATAACGCGACAAATACGGCAAACATTCCCTCGACCCCACAAAGTGCACAAATCTGTCGAAAGCTCCAAACGCATCAATTGAAAATTTTAATTAATTTGCAGAGCGTTTTTGTGTTCGGTAATCTGCTTCAAATCTTAATTGATTTCACGGTCGAAATTGTTTTTTCTATTAGAAAAAGTGCAAAAGTGGCGTTAAAACTTGCATGCAAATAACAAACTTTTACTAGCAAACGCAGAACACACGGAAATGCGAATGAAAAAAAAAGCAAACTTTGTAGAGGAGGGAAATTTCTTGCGACAACATCGTGCGCGCGACAAAAACCGGCGGAAAACTAGCGCGGAAAGGACAAAAAAGCTCGGTGAGTTTAAGAATTGTTTGTCGACAATCATAGAGCGAGCGCGGAGGAAGCGAGACCAAAGCTCTGGAGTTATTTTTTGTCGGCGTTTTTATGAACGGGTTGGTTTTTATAAGAGTGGAGGCGCCGGGCATACAGAAAAGCTCTTTATGCTATTACCAGTTCCTTTTGCTGAACGCTTGTATCATTTTGCAAACTAAACTTTTACATTTATACCTACAAATAATTACAGGGTAAAAAGAAATATCAAACATAACGGAAAATGTAAAAAATTACGTTTAGAAATAAACCACTCAAATAAAATATGCAATAAAGTTAAAACAGAAATTAAATCTAGAGTGAATTAGTAATAAAGTAATCAATTTGATAAAAGATTATATCTCCTAAAAGAGTATTAATATCTATCTAAATTTAAAAATATATCTATTTACTACCTCTATAATACAAATGAGCAAAAAACCTAACTTTTATTCAATGACAGAAAAATAATTAAACTACTATTAAAGTACGCATAAAAAAACACACTACATTTATCAACTCGATAGTAGTCTGATAGTTAATTTATGCTTAAAAATAGTTATGAATATGATAAAAAAGGAAGATAATCCCATGTCGCCTGCTTCTAGTCGGACCCTAGTCAAATATCTATTATACTCGTGTGCATTGCCCGAAATTCCCCACGGCGGCGGTGATACACGCGCATGTTACAATGCCCAAGCTGTATTACTGCTGGTACACGTATAATAAACAATGCGTGTAATGTATAATACACCCTAATGAAAAAGGTATTTTCCTAATCGTCGCGTTTTTTTTGCTCCTGGCTGAATATTTTGGGTATTTTTGTCGTTTTCTATTTGTTTACCCATTTTATGGCAAAGTAATGGAGTGCGTATTAAGGTTGTTTAAAATCGCATTTGTCAACGAACGTTCCAGCCGCCAAATGCGACAAAAGCAACGACGAATTAAGTTTCACGCCAGCGTATTTCTAGTCGGTCAAATTTACATCATTTTGTGCGGTGTGTTTTTATGCGAGTATTTTACGGTTGTTTCTGGTATTTTCTAAGGGAAATATTCGGTATGTATCGCGCTGAAAGACATGTCATTCGTCAATCAGAGCGGCAACCAACGCAGATGCGCGATGCGAGAAGAGGGGTGGTTTGCGGGTGGAAAAACACGCCTGATGAACTCGAAATGATGGATGACCCGTAGACTCGACTCATGAAATCGTACGAAATACTTCATCAAATTTCATAACCACATTCGTACACCTCAAAAATATATACGAGTTAAAAGCAATAATAAAAAATAGTTTCGTTGCATTTGTGTGTATTCAAACTGGCAAAAATTTGTTACCAAAAAACTTTAACGAATTAAATAGAAGTTATTATTATCAGTTTAGATAAAACCGACTTATATTTCATCGAAAGGAATGGCATTTGCACTAAACGAAAGTTGATTTTATTTAACCTACAATATTTATATGAACTCACCTCTGATTTTCCTTTCGATACGCAGTTGGCTACATGTGTTGGTTCCAAGTTGAGCGCATCTCTCTGCAAAAAAAAAAAAAAAGTGTCATTAAATATGTATTTTGTTGAGTTGTTGAGCAAACGAGCATGCATCAGCGCAAAGCGCATAAAACACGCGCGAGTGCGCACGCATTTTTCGAAAATGATTCGCCTGCGTGCATATTCATGAGCGCTCGCGCGTTTGCTCGCGCTCTCGGTCATTTTTTCATAATTCATTTTGCGGTTGCGTCCCATCGGTGTGCGCGCCCACCTCCGCCCGATTATGTATAATATTGAATAGCGTAATCACGCGTACGTGCCCTTAAGGTACCGAAATTTGCTGTATTCACCGTAATACACATACGCAATTCCCATCATATACAACATTTCATATTCAAAGTGTTGTACAAAATCCAATAATTTGGAAACAAAGATAATAGGAAAAAATAGATTATAATATTTATTATTTAAATTTATTACAAATTAAATAATTACAGAATAATTTGAAATTTATGTTTTTAATTCGATCGTTGTGTGCAAAATGAAGCACCCTCGGGATTGTTCATTACGCGCAGATTGTTTAAACCTAAAATAAATCGGCTAAAATTTAGCAAGCGGGCGAAAATGATCGAAATTATTATGAATTGCAAATTATTAATATTTAAACGAACACAATCGCAAACGTAATTAAATACTAGTAAATTATGCGAAATTGCAAATATAACGTCGATAAACAAGTTAAATGCGGCGAGTGGACGAGAAGTTGCAAAATTCGTGTTATTCGCGTGTGAAATTAAATATTAAAACCAATCATGCCACACGATATTTCAAAATTGCATGGTTAAGCGTTTAAAATGAAAGTTCTTGTTGAGTTAATTGTTGATTGTTACAATATTCAACCTTTAATGGGCTTCGAGTTACATTAACACAAAACACTTATTGCCCAAAACGTGTGATTTCACTTAAGAAAGCCGACCGAGTGCCCGGCGCCTCCACATAGCACTCTGCAGCAGGCGAATTACACATTTCTCTTAACTCGCGCAACAATAATACCAAATAGCTTTCCGACCGTGTTATTGCTCAATAAATCGTCGCCGCTGCGTTTATGTGCTCATTTCCGCTCATATGTGCACCTGGATGGATCCCAAACGCACCCCAAGCGTCGAGAGAGATTGAGAGAAGTAAAACAATGGCATAAACCGAGCGGTGGCGGCGCCGCGGCATTAGAAGCAAGAAATTTATCGGCAATTAAAATTTAATTTTGTTGTTGTTCCATGCAAAGCGTCGATGAATTTCAATAAAATCCCCGAGATGTAAACGCGCACGCCTGGCGATCGTAAAAGTAATAAAAATCATAAGTTTTATTAATACTCGCATCGGCGTCGAACTCGCCTCGATAAATATTAAAGTTAACAGGGACTCTTTGATATAGATCACTATATATATCACGAAATAAAATTCAATTAAGTTTTCATATTAAAAAATGCTTTTGTTTTAATTTTAAGTATAAAATAAATGTCGAACCTGTAAATGTGATAATCGTTGTAAATGTTTTCAAAAGCTTTAATAAATGTAATAAACCCGTCATAAAATAATTCCAGCTTTAGTTGTAACGTGTGTTTAATCTTTAATCTATTTTTTCACAGCATGCCCGCTGGGTCCAGCAACAATGCTACAAAATGACCAAACCAACAATAAAAACACAACAAAAAACATAAAATAAAAACCTGTTCATTGTACGCACCCACACACTAAATGTAATCCAATTTATAAAATACAACAAATAAAACATGTCTAAAATAGAATATATTTATGTTTTTGTTTCAAGTCGTGGACTATATAAAAGTTAAAACGTCAATGAAATGGCATTTTATTTTCATGTTAAATTGCATTTTACACAAAAAAGTGCAAAACCACTTTATTAAAAGAGCTCTGTTTGTCCTTGGTGTTCCTTTCAGGCATTAAAAATTAAAGTACAAAAAGATCGTTTAAATCACAGGGGACTTTAGTGATACTCAGTCCTTTTTCCCTTCAAGAAAAAATACATTAATTATGCCATTGATGTTAAAGCTTATATTTAATGCAAGCCCTACCCACAATCGCATGAAATGAAATTCCGAAATACGTCTGCTAAAATTTGAAATTTTTATATTGAGGGTGTGCAACAAATAGATAGCAATTTATAACACGGTGAGTTAACCGCGCGTGTAAAAAATGCATTTGGAGGGTGCGTTTGATGAACACGAAGACGACAACAACTGTCGCGTTGTTACAAACGCGTACATTCTGATTTGGTTACGGGGTGGATGCATCACGTGCATTATTTAGTGGCAGTAACTTTCACCCCCCGAAAACCAGAAATTACTGCACGTTTACTGCACGCAAACGTGGAAAAAGTCGAAACAGTCACAGCTACGAGAGTAATGACTTCGGGTGCATACAAATTTCCGCAAAAGTTTTACAATTACAAGTCGGTTAACTTTCCTAGTTAGCGAGGGGTTTGCACAACCCCGCAAAGTAATCCTATAAATATCCAACACCAAAAACAATAATTATACTAAATTAATCTAGTTCATAAAAAATATTTTTGTGCAACACTATTGTATTTTGGTGATGCAACAAGTCAGATTGTTCCAGAATCTACTTGCAAGACATAAATTAACGGCTCCAAGAAATTTCTTTGTGGATTTACTAGTCGAAAAACAAATTAAACTCGAAGAAAACTGATGAACACTTTACGTTGATGGTTTCCACTTTAATTTCTAGCCGCCGTGGAGATGGATTTCTATTGAAACAAAAGGCACGTGTCTGTTTTTAATTTTGAATCCCTCCCTACTTCGCGCGCGCATGCCGCGCTCCATAATAATGAACCGGAGGTTCGCTCGCATCACGTTCGGTTGCAACTAAGCGTCCGCCACTTTGTTCCTCACGGGAAGCAATTTCACCCTCGATTATGAATTGCTAAACAAATACTCTTCGTCTTAAAGTCTTGTACGTTTGCTCATCGCTCGGGCCAAGCAAACGAACATGAGATACGCGCACACTCATCACAGGGTGCAACTATAAATCATCCCCTTATTTATTTTCTTCATTCGTGCTGGCAGAGGGTGAGGTAAAGTGTAGTTTAGAGATGTTTGACTCACAGAACAAGATTAACAGGAGTGTTTTTTATTATTTCTAATTAGATGTTTTTAATAGGGTGCAAGGCGGATGGCAGAGGAATGCGACACTAAGTAGTCGTCGCGTGGAGGAAGACGGGGACGAATTGGGTCGAGAAACTTTTAATTACGGAGGGCGAACGGCGTCAATTAATGTGTATTTACGCGAAGGCGTTCGCGCCTTTTAAATGCCTTCCTTCCTTCCTGTTTCGAGACTTTCAGACTTTTCACTGACTTTCCCCGCTTTTGATAAACGTTTATTTACTACACTGACTGTACAGCAAACTTTCAACATATTTTTTTCTGTTAAATTTCTAGAAGATGATACAAAATAAAATAAAGATTGTGAGAGTTATGAACACCATTCGTTTCACATGGTAGAAGCGCTGGGAGTGCAAACAGAATGTTCAGCATCACGACCTCAAAATTAACTACTTTAATTAGTTCGAGACACCTTGAATTTACACCCCCGAAAACAATGAAAGTGTCGCTGCTTCGCCGAGAGGACAATTGGCAATAATACTCGCAAACGCATCGTAAATATCGCTGACTTTCCTCGACACGCATTTATTGTTGTCGGTTGTCGCGTTATCCTGTTACCAGTTTATCCTGATTGGTACTCTGAAATCCTGTTTATGTGTCTCTTCCACTCGCATAATTCAGCGTCGATAATTCGCACGGCCGTTGCTGGACTTTATCTGATGATAAAGATTAATGAACAAACAATCACAATGAACGCGGACATTCGGGGGTGGAAACTGCTGATGCGGCTAATTGAATTATCGAGGCCAAATGGTAGATATCCAGAACTGCTGAAATTCACATTGCATTTGCAAACATTTACAACCACCAATATCATCACTATCAGATTTGTGTGGTAGTTCAAAACTATAATACTATTTCCACAACGTTTTCAAATAATTCCAACAACATGGGCGATTTTCTCCGAGCGGCATTTTTGCTGATCTCACGTATCTGCTCTAGTGGTGATAGCATATCAAAGGCGCATAACACGACTTCATATTCCCGGGAAAACGCTCGTCGGCTCGCCACTACAGCCACAACAAACGACCGCCTTCTTTTTTTTTTTCATTTCGCTCACCGCTTAAATTCTCATATTCTCATATTCATGCGGCGCTTAAACACGTCTACAGGCGTCGCGAGTGTGTCGGCAAATTGGAAATAATAAACTTGTCTGGTTTATAAGGTAATAACGATGTTTGCAGCGGCAGGGAACGCGAGACGAACGAGGCCAGAATGGAAAAGAACGCAAGAAAGAATAAGCGCGAGTGGTGGCAAAAACTGCACGCGCTGAATATAGAACCGAGAGTAGAATTTAAAGTATTCTATACGCTCATATTCCGAACGTTTCGAGGGCGTTATTTTTATTCGCAGCAAACACGGGGCAAGAGGATTGTGCGACCACCCCTCAAAGTAGTAAAATTGTGACATTACTATTTCAAGAATTCATATATGCAATAAAAATTCGTAAATCGCTAATGCCACGTAAAAATTACAATATTTTAATTAAATTTTCACCTTTAACTCTTGGCCATGCATAAATACAAAATATCATATTGTATTGTTGCACGTAAAAAATCTTAACCTGAAAAGTGGAAAATGTCGAACAAGGTTTTTCCATAGTAATGCATACAAAAGTCTAACGTGTAGCTGAATTTCCAGCTTCCGGCTTCGGGCGGCGGGATATCTTCGTGCGTGAGTTACGACCACGAGAACCAGTCTGACAGCTTAAATTTCGTACAAAATATATTTAAATTGCCGCCACTCTGTGTGGCGGCAGCGCACGTCTTACAAAACCGCAAAAAGTACGCTGCAGTACAAGAAGTACACGTGTAATAAAAAGAACACTTAATTGTTTTTATTGCA